TGCAATACTCATCATTCTGTCCATTATTAATAGAATATAAATAGGCGAAGTAAGGAGCCCAAATATTTTACATAAGCAGACTTAAGAGGTGAAGGGGCCAATTATTATTGGATAAATTGCTCGAACAAGTTTTTAAACCCTAATCAAAAGGCGATATAGAATGGTTTTAAAAATCAAGGCTTGTGAAAATCATCACATGGTTTAACTTAAGTAATGCCGATGATTCACAAACCAAAAAATTCAACGTCCTAATACTACTATCGGCTTTCGGTCTTTCGTTCCAAGTTAAAACATTTCTCGTTTTTGTTATGCTACGAGTTTACCCTTGTGAACCTCAGTCTCTCGAATTTCTTTAGTTTATGAAAGATTTTCAGGGCACGATGTCCTTTAGAAAGTTCTGTTGATGGCCCAACTCCGTAAAAATTATGAGGAGTCTTTAATAATGCGATATCATGTACATGATTTAAAGTCAGAGTTCAGGAACTTTTTCAAGTTCAAATTTTGCATTGATTATAAATAGAACTAAAATTAGCAGGGAACATGTTAAATTCAAATTAAACTTCCGCGTGTCTAGCGTCGGTGGTTTTTCGTTATTTCGATTATTCTTCGCTTTCAACGTAATACTAGTTATAGGTAGTAATTTTTTTTGATGTGACTAATATGCAATAGTAGGTAATGGTTTAGTATTGACATTTTTCTTCCTGCAATTGTTTCTGGTAGCATTGTACTCTCAGTATCTGTAAGGTGGGAGGGAGTGAAGCATTTAGGCCTTACTATGCCCATTATGCAAATGCCAATTATGCAAATGCCCACCTTTCTGAAAGGGCAACAAGAATTTTTTTTTCCTCTGACTCTCATTTTTAGATTTATTTCTGACATTTCATCTAAAATTTTATTTTGTTGCTCAATGAATAACCCGTAGGCTTTATTTCTTGCCCTTGGATTACAAGATGGAACACTACTATTAAAAATATCAAACCAATCACTGACCTACAATTAAAAATATAAATAAGCATTAACAATAATAGGTTAGGAAATGTAAGAATATGCTTACCAATTTAAATTAATCTGAAAACTCAATCCAGTTGCTATTTGTAGGGAGATGCCCTAGAATTCCACATCTGCTAATGTTCTTGGAAGTTGTGTGTGCAAATACCTTCGTGGCATATTTTACTTTTTGTATTTGAACACCTCTAACATTTAGCATTTTTTTGCCACTTTATATGAAATATTTAAATCAGAACCACTTGTGGCATCTATTACTGATTCTAAGATATCTTTATTAATTTCTTTTCCATCGAGAATAAATCCAATATCAATAAAATTATCAGTAACTGCATACACATAAATTTTTTCCCGATTTACTGGATTTGTAAAGTAGGACCTTTCATAAATTATTCCTAATTCTTTATGTAGTCCTCTGTTACTACCACCAAGGTCACTATTAACAGCAACTACAGGAAAACCTGAAAAATGTTTGAAAGATTTGTTAGAATATTTTTATTTTATAATTTACCAGCAGATTCCACAAACTTTATAATTTCAAATAAAATCTCTTTGGTTATTTGTGTGTCGTAACTAAAATATATGGGTTGCTTCCAAGACTTGAACAAACCAGTTATCATTACAGTTTGAACATATGAACACGATTTTATAACTTCATCTTCTGTACGGTCATAAATATATTCCTCTCTGATTTTCATCTCATCGAATACAATAGTACAAATCCATGTCTTTTAACTCAGAATATTCAACAAGTTTAAAAATGTTTTTTAAAATTACTGGTCTAATTTTTATTTTTTTCAACCATGATCTTAAAGTTGATACAGCTGGGCAGGGATAACCCTTCTTCAGCATAAGTTTATATGTTCTAGGACCTGAAAAATATAACACAATTGCTTTAGATACATCTGCTATAGACCACCGTATTCTTTTATTATTTGATAATTTTTTAATCTGTTCCTTAGAAAAAAGCTTCTTAGCGGAAAATAGCTTTTCAGTTAGGAATTTGATATGGTTTTCCAACTACGACACACGCTCTTCTAAACCTTTAGAATCGTCGGTTTGTACCCTAAAAAAAATAATCATTCGTTAAAAAAATGTGTATTTTATAGATAAAAATAAATACAAGATATTTATTTTACTGGGCACTTCAGAATCATTCCAGCCATGATTTGAAGCAATACCATCACCATTTTTTAATTGATTACCATTAGTCCCATCACCAGCGTTTAAGCTATTTTGCAAACTCCTAATAAACATTAAATTAAGAATAACCTACACAGGGGACAGTCCTTTCAACGTTATTATTTAATATATATATCAATGACATGATGTCAGTTTTGGCTGAGAATGGCGTGGTGATCTGCTTTGCTGATGACTCTGGTATACTGTTTTGGGGTGACGATTGGGAGAGTACAAAGGATCGTGCAGAGAAAGCAATGCAAATAATCAAGAGATGGCTAGACAATAGCCTACTATCCTTAAATGTCAACAAAACAAAATTTGTCACTTTTGCTCTCTCCCCACGCTCACTACCAGAATTTGAAAACCTAAAAATACATAACCATGACTGTGATCTAAACCAGAATTGTGAATGCAATAAATTGATTGAAAGGGTGACATGTATAAAATACTTAGGGGTTCTTGTAGATCAAAATTTTACTTGGAAAGAACATATTACCTATGTGACAAGCAAAATAAGGAAATTAATATATAAATTTTATGAGTTACGCCATGTCTTGAGTTTTAGCACATTAAAGATGGTGTATTATGCACTGGCTGAATCAATTTTGAATTATGGGTTGGTGGTTTGGGGTAGTGCCGGAGTGACGGTTTTAAACAAACTACAGGTTGCACAAAAATATATCATAAAAATTATGTTATTTAAAAATAAAAGGTTTCCTACTGAATTGCTTTTCAAAGAGAGTCAGTTATTAGATATTAGACAGTTACACCTTAAAGCAGTAGTTAGATTCATGTTAAAATTTTCCTACTATAAGGAATCCATAAGCCATGGGCGTAACACAAGAAATGCAGCTCAAAACAATGTCGCATGCCAAAACCCCAAGCACATCATTTGCCAAAATCATATTTATTGTCTTGGTCCAAAAATCTTTAACTGCCTTCCTAATGATATTAAAGTAAAACCATATTCTAAGTGTAAAAAAGAGATAAGACAGTGGATACTCCAAAGCAATTATGTAATTAATTATATAGTTTAATTTTAAGTTTAATTTTAAATAATATATCACACAATTATTGTTCATATATATATATATATATATACTTATTTTACTATCTCCTATCGAATTATTGTTACCACATTTCTACTACTTTAGTACAAAAATCTGTTATACTTAGCTTAAATAAGAATATATTTTTTGTTATTTAAAAAAAAAATAAAAAAAAAACCTCAAAGATACATGTATAAGAAAAAGAGTGCACACACAGTACTTTAAGTACAATCGTGCACTAGAGTAGAAGTTTTCATTTTAAATATTATTTAGAGGGTGACCTCAATTTAGGAATTAAGTAATTAATTGAGTGATTTATTTTTCTCTTGTTCCTATAATTAATTATATTACTGTTTAATATAAATGTAAACTACTACATAAATAAATAAATAATAAATAAACTATTACGGTTAATCATTTAATTTCAAATCGTTTAAGTTAGTTATTTAATATTAAGTTATTAATTTTAAATTTTTTTTACGCAATTTTCACAAATTTTTAGTATTTTTCTACATTTTTTTTTTTTCTAAATTTCAGTATAGATTTGAAATGGAAAGTTCCGGTTTACCCTGCTTTATATAATTAATACTTGTTCAAGATATCGTCAACCAATTTTTTTCGCTCTTTTCTTTCAACTGCTTTGCTGATACTTTTCCCTTTTGAACATGATGGTTGAATGGGTAGATTTAAAGTTGGAATAGCTTCATTATTTATCCTCTGTATCATTTTGGATAGTAATTTAACATTGTATGATTTAAATTTAACTTATAGTCATTTTTGAACACACAACTGAAGGTTTTACGTTAAAATTGTCCTTTCTTCCTGTCGCGTCCATCCACTTTTTGCACAGTGTTACATTTATCGGAAAAGAATAAAATTTTACCTCCGTACAGGGATTTTTTTAGACTCATTGCCTGAAATACACCCAAACACAGGGCAGCGCATGTTTAATCACAAAGAGAAGTGCTAATTTTAGTTAAAGACCTTAGGAAAATATGAAAAAATCTATAATCTTTAAATTACTGCTTTGCAACTAACTCGTAATCGTTAAAACTGATTTGAAATTACGCTGTTGATGACGTATTACGCGCCAATTGGGACACGCCCACAATGTGCTATGTCATATCTTTAAGTGGTTGTATCGTGGACTGTATTATTATTGTAAGATTTACCTGTATGAACGGTTGTTGCATAGAACATGGCATAATGTCATGTTAATGTATTAATTCTTGTGAGAAAGGTTGAAGCATTCTGTCTGCAACAGAAAAATGCATTCTGATGAACTGAAATGAATCGCCGAATGAGAAATTATGGTAAATGCAAGAAGGTTGCGTCATGTTTTTATGCCTCTTCTCCTTTCTGTGATTTTTAGAGGTTTGAGTATGTAAGTTTTACCGGCATGACTTGATTAAGTCAGAAATTGTAACTGCCTTTAAAGTCAAACTATTTGTCTATATGTGCAAGAAAGGTGGAGATGTCGTAACTGATATAGTTATATTAAATTTGTTGTTCTTGAAACTTTTAATATATTTAACGGAACAGACGCCTGAGTTTATTTTTTATATTTAAATTATTAATTGTATTCTTATTGGATTAAATGAATGAATAATCTGGAGATGTAATTGTTTAATTATCATTTAATTGATCGGTTTCACACGCAGGGCTGGGCTAGCCTGATGTATAAATGTAATATGTTGTATGTATTTTCAACAATAGTTAAGCTAATCAAAAATACTCTTAATTGTTCAAAAACACTTATTTCAGATCAAAATGAATAGCATAAGAAGATAGAGAAGGATGGACAAATACGAACAATTGGCGATAGTTGGTGAAGGCTCGTACGGTTTGGTGATGAAATGTAGACATCGTGAAACAGATCAAATAGTAGCTATTAAGAAATTTCTGGAGACTGAAGAAGATGCCACCATCAGGAAGATGGCCCTTAGGGAAATTCGAATGCTTAAAGTAAGTTTTATAACAAAAATATTAAACAAACAGATAAAGTATTGTATCTTACATTTGTTAGAAATAACATTGTTCCCGTTATTGATCAGGGTTGGACAGAGATAATTAAATGAAAATGAAATGAAAATGTCACGCAAAAGTTTGAGCTGAAGTTCATTATAGTACGAATATAATTTTAAACGGAACACATTAGTAAATTATTTAAAAAAAGACACAGATAAAGTTGTGATAAAGTCGATGGACACACAACGCCGTTTGAGCACACTGTGTAATAAGATTTCTGATCGAGTAGCACACTATACTTTTTATGGGAACATAAAGATTAAAATTAAGATCTTTAATAATTTGCTAAACTATAACTTCTTTTTTTAATTTTACTTTCAAACTTATCACAAAAGTTAATAATAAAGAGTAAAAACATTACAATTTGAAATAGTAATAGGTGGTAAATAATGTGTTTGACATGTAGACTGCCATGAGGTACGCGTTGAGTGTCTCACTCAAATATTAGGTCCATCCACTGAGGCACATGTTGTACACACGTACTAATTTCATTCTACAATCTGAGGCACTGCGTATGGCTCACAAGTACCAATATTTCTTTAGAAACCGATTGTGTATGGCACAAAATAATTTTTGATTTTGATTTATTTCATATCTCTATATCAGTAGCCATGTTTATCATAATTATTGGAAATTAGGGAAGAATAAGGTGTTTTACTGAAATAGAGTAATTATTCACAAAAAATATTCATTCATACAATAAAATAAAAAAGAATATAAATATAGGGGGTGCTTTATAGGAGGTGGTTTTCTACTCTATAGAATATATCAGTTATTTGGCTTGGAAAAGAAAATTTGTCAAATAAAAGTTACTTGTAATGTCATTCTCTATCATTTTTATCCTTTTCATGATTTCCCTAAAATGGACGTGTTCGAGATATTTGAGAAAAAGGGCCAAATTCGAGTTTTGAAGATAATTCAAAAACGAATAAAGAGAAAACCCCCAAATTTTAATCTTAAGTTTTAATCCATCCTGCGGTGAGCTGATTAAATTTTGGACATAGTCGAAGTATCTTTTTGTACACAATGTATTTTTTGGATTGCAGTTCTCATACCAATTTTCCTGCATATTTTTCCTAGAATTGTCTTGTATATTTTTTGTACTGTAACTGCCCATCCCCAGTACCCCCTATTTGTTGGCTGTTTTTTTTTTACTCAATGTGATGTTATTATTTACCTCACAAGTTTTACTTTAAATTCTATAGTTACTGTAGTTGGCCTTTTTTCCTCCAGTAGTAAAGTGATCGTCTAGTTAATTAATTGATAAATTATATACTCACGTTGTGATAGTGTTAGTTAAGGTAAACCAGGATTCGATGCAAACTTTGGTGCAAATTGATAAATAAAACCAGACAAATTTATATTTAAACTCTTTTATTTTTCATACTTTAAATGTGATACAATAATTAGCAAGGTATATTACAATTGGTACTATTTACTGAGATCTCACTTGAGTCCCCTTCAAACGCAGACCATATTCATTTGCTATCGATATATATTTTATTTAGGTTGTTGACCAACGGAGCTAACGAACAGCGCCAATTCGCCAGTTGGTTAACTATTGTGTTGATGTTGATTTGATTCTATTCTAGATATACACAGGTTGCACCCTCTTAGGTAAATATTTCGACGAGTATAGAGGTGACCATCAACGGAAGTAACGAACAGCGCCAATTCGCCAGTTGGTTACTTTACTATGTTGATTTCACATATACTTTGTTTCAAACCTTGTAGAATGGGTGGCTTAGCGTATATGTGTCCCCCCTTGAGATAACGAACAGTGTAATCACCAGTTGGTTAACTTACTATTAAACTTTACCATCTTGGTTTGTACAATTTATCCAAGAAGCACATCCTTACATATTTCTAAAATATTGATTTTTTATAATTTTTATTGAAATGACTTAATACAACCCTGTATATTTTTTAATATTGATTATTATAATTTCAATTGAAATTATTTAATACAACCCTGGATATTTCTTAATATTGATTTTTATAGTTTCTATTGAAATACTCAAAATTTCACCCATCGAAACAGATGTCTATCCTAACTGACTTCTGGGTGTATGACTTGAAGGCCATGAGGTTTATTGGTTAAATTGATAATATGTTGTAGCAAATGTCAAGCCCTCGCTTAAACGAAACCCTGGTGATATCTCAAAGAAAGTTACATAAATCTGTTGATTCACCATTGAAAATACAGACATTAGATTATGTACTAATTTCATCTAGCGTTGTGACGGCGTCGATTTAGATACGTTGCAGCGCTGAGCGTCGCCTCGCGTCGTCGTGGAAAGGAAGGTATTTAATACGGTACTGCATTGGGACAGATATACAGTAGAATTATTTAGGTGGTGTGGGACGTGACGAATGGTGTTGAAAAGGATATTATGAAGGAAATATTTAGAGACGGCAAGCGTCGGGAAATAGCTGTGGCACGTTGACAGCGTTCGGGGAATAGGATATATTGTAGGATAGACGTTGTTTAGGAAGAACGTTTTAGGAAAGGTACTGACTACTGAACTTGAAATATATCTGGATACAAATAATAAATGAATGCTTGCACATTAAATAATAAAAAATGAATGAATACGAGCTGATTTGGGTCTGACTTCTTATACTAAATTTAAAGGCTTTTGTGACGTCTCTGTGTCTTAGTTCCCAGAGAAATAATAATGTGGGTGCAGAGGGGGTGGCTTATTTATTATGTGACTTGAGATCTTTGTCGAAATCGGTCTTAACATTGAAACTGGAAAGATAAGCGAGTTAAGAGTTTTAATGATGATTACTTCGTGAAAAAAAAATGTTTTATGGTCTAGGTTCCCAGACACGTGCACGAAATTTGGATATTTTACGGACGTAGTTATAGATAATATTAATTAGGTGTCGTAAATAAGATTAAATTACCTGGTAGATTTTTCGTTAAATGAAGGATATTGAATTTAATAAGAATGCAATATTATATTTAATAAATTAAATTAATAAATAATTAAAGTAGGTTACAGTACCAATTCATTAATTGTTTTCTTCTTCTTTTTTTTAAAGAGACTGAAACATGAAAACCTTGTGGCAATGATAGAAGTCTTTCGACATAAGAAACGGTTTTATTTAGTATTTGAATATTTGGAGGGGACGGTCCTAGACGAGCTGGATAAAATGCCCGGAGGGTTAGGAGAGGAACGGTGTAGAGAAAGGATATTTCAAGTAACAAGAGGAATTGGATATTGTCATAGTAATCATGTAAGTACGAGCTTTTGTTACAATGTTTGGAAAAAATTACGAAATAACTAAAAGAAAATATATGAAAACAAGAGTCTCTAAACTATGTGACTAAAATAAAGCGAGCTTTTGTTTCTCTTAGCAATACAACTACTGCAGTACTCCTTTGAATAATACTGCAACAGGCACTGAATTGCATCCAAAGAAAAACAGCAGATATAGAAATATAATTTCAACATTCTAACTTTGATTTTGCTTACTAAGGAGGAACGCCTTTATTTTAGAGAAAGAAAGAGACAGTCTCTAATGGAATATTCAAATGCGTTAAATTCACTCGCCTTCTTGGTATGAATGGATCTTACGAAATAATTAAAGGTCACAAAGTAAAAAAGTAACGCTATCTACACTTAGTAAGCAAAATCGAAGTTTGCTTTCAAATAATTATTATAATCAACTTAATATTAACAAAAATAAAAATCCGTGAATGATCTTGGTTTAAACATGCTATTGTTTAAAAATAACTTATTTTACACGAAAGCCATATAACCTATATATTTTCAAGCTGAACTCGATACTTAGTGAGCTTCTTTAATTTCAAATAAGTGCCGTGTTTTTTAAGGATGAACGGCTACGAAGGTTGAATCTAATTTTAACATAAAGTACCTAAACAACAAAAATTCAGATATTAAGATAAGATATACCTATAAAAAATAAAATTTCAAAGAAAAAGAAATACGATAAATTAGCGATGATGTAATTATGTTTCCACTGATAATTATAGTGACAGTCGATTTTGTAAATGCTTTTTGTTTCTTTTATTTACTTAAATTGCATAGTTTTAAACTTTCATAAATATATTCTTAAACTAAGTAAGTAGATAACAATATTTAAAAAATAAATAAAAACACTAAAAACGTATATGTCAATTTTAATGTTTTTGTTAAAACTTTGGTTGGAAATTGACTGTCAGTCAAATAGATACGCCTTGTTCAAATTTTTTCTGACCGTACGCTCTTCCTATGTTGTCAGATCTCTTCCATCAAATTTTCTCTTCCCTTTAATATAATCTATTAGAAAAAGAGAAATAAAGAATTACAAGCATAATTATAAGTTTTTTATTCAATACAATTACTTAAGATTTGTATTTATCGTCTTTTACTGGTGTATCTTATCGTATGTTGTTAATGAACATTCTGGTCTGGTTCATAACATTTTAAGTTTAGCAACATAAGACATTTTGTTGAAGGCGTCAAGTGACAGCTTGATTTTAATTAATTAGCTCTTTTTTGTCTCCCTCCCTTTCTCTCTTCCTTCCTCACAATTTTCTTTTGAATGGCGATACTTAGACTGATGAAATTTGGAGGGTGAAAATGAACTATTGTATACTTCTTTACTAGTGGTAATAGTTGACGTAATAGTCATCGATGACATCACAAGGCGACTGGAACAAATACTATTAAATGAGAACTTATGGCAAGTGACACCTCGTTTGAAAGGTATTTAGAATACCTATTCAGTCAGATTAATTATATTGGGATTCACGATGATTTTGATGGATAAAATAAATAAACACTAAAATTTGAGTTTCGATTTTAATCAATAAAGATTCAAGAACCAGTTCCTATAATAATTGTTCAAAATGTGCTCCATCTACTTCCTGGTAGTAAAAAATCCTGTTATTAAACTCTTGTTGGCCTCGTTCAAATCGCCAAACATTCTTCAACAATTCGTTGTTTTAAAACGTCAATACTGTCAGGAGCTGTAGCGTCAACCTTAGATTTAAGGTATCCCACAGAAAAATCTAAAGGTGTTAGGTCCGGCGACCGACCTGGCCATTATATTAGACTGCTTTGTCCAATCTATCTAGATAACGTCTTACTGCAAAGTAATAGTGTGCAGGACCATCATCTTGTTGGAACGTTATTTCCAAGTTACCAAATTCCAGAATTTAAAGACTAAACGGTTCAATTGCGTCTTTTAACATCTCCAGATATACTTAACCGGTTAAGTTAGAATTCAAAAAATAGGTCCAACTATGTGGTCTTCCAAAATACCTACCCAGACATTTATTTTTGATGGAAACTGTGTATGTGGTTCACGAAAAGTTGAGGGTTTATGTCGCTCCAATACCTCACATTTTGAGTATAACGTTTCCATTAAGGAAGAAAGTACTTTAGCTACTAAAACAAATTGTTTTACATAATGTGGCTGTTGGACAATTTTAGGGGACATATTTTTACAGAATTCCAGCCTTCGGTCGGGGTCGTCATCTGTAAGTTGATGCATTATTTTTAATTTGTATGGGTGAAAGTTGTTTTTGATCAATATCCTGAGTATTGAACTATTACTGACTTCACAGGTAGACGCAATTTGGGCTCTGGAAGAAGTAGAGGTTACTACAATACTCATATTTGGTCGACCCGATCGTGAGGCAGCATGAACACTTTCACCAATTATTTTTAAGATAGCGGTTACTTTGTCAGCTAGAGCAGGTACCACTTTGTTAATGAGGATTCTTAAACGTCTCGTTAAACAATAATTAAATTAATAAATTCAAGATATAAACACTGTAAAAACGTCAATTTAAAAAAAAACAATTTTTTTGACAATTAACCATAGGCGGCCTATTAAATATAGCGAATATGAAATTATAGTGTTTATTTATTTTATCCATCAAAATCACCGTAAATCGAAACAAAATTAGTATGATTAAAATAACTTTCAAACAAGGTGTCACTTGCCGTAAGGTCCTATTTAGTTATTGGCTCCAGTCGTATTTTGACGTTATCGATGACTATTACGTCACCTGTTACCACTAGTAGAGAAGCTTACAATAATTTATTTTTCCCTCCAAATATCAGTTTAAGTATCATCGTTTTAAAGAAAATAGGAGGGAAGGGAACTTTTAAGAAGCACTGAATACGTCTATAAATCTATAAATGCATAATATTAGAAGAAAATTCAATGAATTTAGAAAAAAACTAATAAGCATAATTAACAAATAATCAGGAATGGTAATTTGTTAAAATTTCCAATTCATAGAACAATTTTCTATGAAAAATGTCCATCATCTTGTACACAATAAATTGTTCCAGTTAATAAAAAAATTAAGCAAATTTTAATTCATTCAAGTTTAGAGAATTGTTTTTATAATGTACAAGAGTATTGTAATTTTAACTAAATAAGTATAGTCTCCACTAATATTTTAGTAACACTGTCTTTTCCATGTAATAATGGTCTTACTGGAATACATTTTTTTTATTATTTCCATATTATTTATAACATTTGTTTAATTAAATAGAAAAATGTATACCGAAATGTTATATTGCACGTCACTTCATTATGGTAGTTATTGATTTGTATGTCAGAAAAATATGAATTGTCATATAGATTTTGTATGAATAAATTTTGGAGATTTCATGAGAATTTTGAATCCACGACACGAAAATACAGTCCACAAGCTAAAACATCACGTATTAAACAACATTATCCAAAATTCATTTGTAAACCTCTCTTTAAGAAATTCGAAAATGATCGAGTCTTTTTGTTTAACTTGTATTTTACGACTTATTCGAATTTTATATTATTTGGACCATATATTGGGGCGGAGCTAATGTGCCACCAAATATACCTGACCAGAAAATGGTAATTTCGCTATTTTTGAGTTTTCAAGAAAACGCTATATGAACTTTAGTATTATTTTAGTCCTTAATGCTCTTATCCCAAAACTTTTAATTTTTTTGTACCAAGCTTGGTGAAGATGAAATCGGCACCAATAAATTTTTAATTTAGACATTCATATTGAAAACTAAAATATGTTCTTCTACAATATTTAAAAACAAAAAGTCTTCACCTCTACACGTTGAGGGTTTGTAATTTCTAATTAGTTTACTGTCATTTCTTGTAAATAATCTCATTATGATTTTGTATTATTATATTTTAAAAGCTCTTATTTTTACTATAACTTTTATTTTTTATTGAAAATAAAATTTAAAAACGGCCGAATTTATCATGAAATACAATTATATACGGATCAACAATGGGATCATTGCTTCTACCCTCTCAGTTAGGAACCCTTTCCTCTGATGGCAGGAATACCTGCAATTTTAAAATTCTAAATTTGTGGTACAATATTAATATTGGTGGCACAATTACCTACGTCGATATATTGATTCTTATTTAAGGAATAGCAAATAGCCTTTTTAGGCGATCACTATCCAAAGTAGGCCCTTGCGCTACGAAATCCAATTGAAAAGTTGACATTTTACGCGAACTGACATTAAGTGACAGCTTTGTCGCTCGCAGTGCGACAAAATTGACAGCTTTATTGCTCGTCTCCTTTCTCATAGCGAAAAGCATGTAAATTGAACATATGTTGCAGGCAAAAGAATATATTTAGTAAATAAAAATGTCTACCATAATTTCACAATATAATAATTATTAGTTCTTAGCGAAATTAAACCATATTTACAAACAATACCCACTTGAAAGATTTAGGAGGTTTTAGACTTTTCAAATAGGCTATTTGCAATTAAATTCATTTGATATTTTCAGGTTTTATTTTATATTTTAAAATAATGTTATCGTTAAAAAATCTTGTGTGAATTTTGAGCGAAAAGTCCGTTGCTGCTTTCGACAGAGTATCTTTTCGCTCTTAATACACAAATGGCTATTTTCGTTTTTCAAATTAAAATATACCTATAATTAAATCTAATTTTCAGATTATCCACAGGGACGTTAAACCGGAAAATGTATTGGTTTCATCACTCGGAGTGGTGAAATTATGCGATTTTGGGTTCGCTAGGCTAATAAGTTCTACGGGCGAAGCCTGTACAGAATACGTAGCCACTAGGTGGTATCGCGCTCCGGAACTTCTAGTGGGAGAACCCAACTACGGTCCTCCAATAGACGTGTGGTCCATTGGTTGCCTTTTCGCCGAAATGATGACTGGAGATCCACTATTTCCAGGAGAGAGCGATATTGATCAGTTTCATCTGATAGTTAAACTGTTAGGTAAGGTGTAATATGTAGTAACAATGTGACAATCGAAGCATAAAGTATCTCTTGGAACAAAAACAACCAATTACTTTTTTCATAACTAAAATGTCTTTCTCCACTACTGAATGTAGTTCTTCCGAAACCACTTATAATAACCGAAAGAAAACATTCTCGTTCTTGAGATTAAAAGAAAATTAGCTACTGGCCAATGGCTGTGAATATCACGTCCGGATCGTAGATAGCCATGACTTTAATGATTGACAGTTCTACGCGACGTAATATTATTTACTTTGAATTTGCGTGAATAAAGAAAAACGGCGTTTGTTGAGTCAAACTTAAATTCAAAAATGGATAAATTATTCTGATATGGAATTTGATAATACTCCTCCAGAACTGACAAATTATGCAAATTAATTAAGTAAAAACTTATCTAACATAGGTTAGATTAAATATTTCATTTTGTTCAAAGTTTAATTTTACTATATTCAATTCCTATTGTGTCTGCAGCCGTGGAGAAAGTACAGTTTGTTATTCTATTGGAATAAAAATTCTATACTCGTGGTTTTTCACACTCGCATATGCTCCCGTTCAGAATCTTTCACTCATATCGAACTTTCATTCCAACCTTTTGTTACAAAATATACTATTTTATTGATTTGCAATGCAACCTTTTGGCTTTGTAACGGCAACACAAAATTGACGTTTATAGGACGTAAATATGCTTCATTAGTGTGCCGTCAGTCGTTGATTTTAACATAAAAGTTTTAATATTATAGATATAGTTTGAAGATCGTAAAAAGTAGTTTAAAGGTATGGAACTAAAATATTTTTATATAAATAAAAGTTCTTTGGTTAAATCGGCCATAAATAAGTTTTTATTTATGATATGGCAACCCTGCGGTTCTGTTGTCTTTGACAGGGTCAATGACAATGATACATACAGGGCGTTCCAAAATTGCGTGTACATAGAGCTACTGTATGTTGGCGAGATCAAAATAAGTCGGTTGAGCCAGATAGTTATATACTTTAAATTTTCAAGAAAACTAAGTTGGCGGTTGTCAACGTTACTAATAAAAAATTTGATAATTTTGACAGATATGGTGTAAAACTGTAAAAATTGTCGATACTACTCATTTTATGTATTGTATTTTTTGTTTCGCTTCAAAGTTCTTGTGAAAGAGTTATTTCAAATATTTTGTGGCTGATACACATTTAATGAACAAACTGATATGTTGCTAGTGCTTAGTTTCTGTAATGGCAACTTGAGAGTGTTCGGATATATCATGAAAGATTTCCAAATAGATAGATTCCGAATCACCAGACTTTTGCTTCTACCGAGAGGCGACTTCGAGAAACTGGTCAACTGAAACCGAACAGAAATTATGCTGGACGACCTCGTCAAGCCAGAACTCCTGCTGCAGAGGAGGGAATTACTTGAAATAATTGAAAATAATCCTGGAATTAGTACCCGATGACTGGCACGCCAAACTAGGGTTTTAAAAAGCACATCCAACATAATTAGAGAACAACTTATTTATTCCTTTCAGATTCAAAGTGTTCAGGAGCCTGATTATGAGTCGGTTTAGATTTAAGACTTTATCGTAGCCAAGGTTATGACAATGCTACAACCATGGCAGGCATTCATACCGGAGTGCAAATGAGAATTAAAGAATCCAAAAGCGGTTTCTGTTCCATGTGCTAACCACTATTTAAATTTATGCTAGGTACACGTTTTAGAAGTGTATAACATTTTTTGGGACTTTGGAAAGTGTGTGCAAGTTGTTTTCGTGTTCAATCCATAGACGGAATGTTCTAAAAGAAATCGTTGGAGTGACTGTAAAGAGACTTAGTGATACTAGATGGAGTGCAGTTAAACCAATATTTACAAATTTCGAAAAATTGATTGATGCTTTAGACAAGTTGTGTGATGCTTCTGAGAATCTAAATACGAGGGGGACAGCGGAGGTGTTGAAAACAAACATTTGTAATTTTAATTTTCTTTGTTTCTTGCACTTATTGTACCACATTTTATCTGAAGTGAACCATGTACAAAAATACCTCCAAATCGACGGTATTACTTTGTAAAACTGTGTATTGAAGTTGAAAAGCTTAAAAATGTTTTTAGACGAGAGTTGGAAAGAACTGGTCCAAAAAGTCTTAGAGAACACGCAACTACAACTTGTGGTAAATTGGACAGTGATATCGAAAGCAAAAATCGTACACGAGTTAAAAAGATGATGTCAGGAGAAAAGGCTAAAGAAAACTCGTAAATACAAATAATGAAGACTTGGTAACTTACATACATCAGTTCACAAATACATTTGATGATTTAGAGGAAGAAGAAATGTTACCGGAAGTGAAGAGGCTAAGAAGATATCTGAAGGCTTCTGGAATAAAAATCCATGAACGTCATTGCAAATGTTGAAGTTTATTGTTGAAATGGACTTTCGTAAATCGTTACCAAACATAACTGAGGGACTTAAACTGTTTCTTATTATTTGTGTGTCTGTGGCTTCTTGTAAGAGAAGTTTGTCAAAACTTAAATTAATTAAGAACTATCTCTACAATGAGCCAGTCTCGTTTGACCAGCTTGGCTATATAATCCATTGAAAATGAGATCGCTAAGCATGTGAGTTTTGATGACTTAATTCAACAATTTTCAGAACTCAAGGCTCGTAAAATTTTTTTAATTTGTTTCTACTTTTTGTTATTCTGGTAAGTTTGTGTATCTATTTCTTCTCATTGCTGTACATTGTATTATAAAATAACAGAAAGATGGGGTTTCTGTTATTTTAAAATTATTTTAAAAATGTTTTAATTTGTTTGTAATCGTCCCCATGTTTTATTAATTTATGACGGCACCCGAAGATGGAAAAGTTTTCCGAAACATATGTAGTGTGCTAAACAATTGAAAACAATAAAAAAAAACAGATACCTAAAATTTAATGTGTTGCCATGAAATTTTGACAGCAGCACCATTGTTGAATAAAAATCTGATGTTTCTGAATCAGTTTGATTGTTGTTTTTGTTATCGAATGATTCGAGTTAATTTGATACATTAGTGAAAATGCTGAGACATAATCTCTATTTAAATGAAGAAATAAGAGATATGATTTGCTGTTACGCAAGAGAAAATTTTTCTGGACATTCAGCGTCTAGAAATTGGGTCCTATGATTGAACGTTTACGTTATCCGTAACGTACATGTTAGACCGAGTTTTAACAGTAACGAGACAAGTTTGTGTGATGGAAATATGTTAAATTAGAACCTTAGATAAAAGAGACCAGAGATATAACATACACCGGTGTTTAATCTGCGCAAATGTTGCCAATTTCTAAAGAAAGGTTAACGGAGTGGGGGAACTGGACAGGGACCCGAACTTTGTGATAGGGACCGGACTTTGTTTATTAGCATCAAAATGAACTATTAGATTTATTTAAAATATACGTTCAATGGAATTTTGTATTATGAAATAAATTTAACGTCATTTTTTAATATCAAACAGATGCCACGACATTTTATGTAAAGAGAGGACCTGTCATAGAATATTTCGTTAGCTATTATTTACTACGGACTTTTCTGTAAGAGACTACAGTAAAATGTTGAAATAGAATATTGTTAATCTAGTAAAAAATGTCTAAGAGTATTATAAAAAAAGCATGTGCGCAGGCGAATACTGCAAATCAAACCTTGTGAGTTGAACATTATATTTTTTCTACGACTATCACATATAATTAAAAATTAGTTAAAATGAGAAAATGCTGGTTTGTATTATCTCAGAAAAAGATATATTAAAGCTTGTTTCTTTGGGAATATTAATTAATATAGAGGATGAGTCACATAAAACTCTAGAAATGCATATGTCTGAAACCAGATAACATTTTAAAGTTTAAACCTATTAAAAGTCATTTGGTCGCCAGGAGTGGGAGATTATCGAAATAAATTATTGATTATTAATAATAATCGATTATTTTCGATCAATCGATTATTTTCAATCTATTTTTGTTCGTATTTCCTTTAAAATCGACAACTTGATTATTTTTGAAAAATCAAAATAGATTAATTTAAAAGCCAATTAACCAATAGATCAGTGTTTACAAAAAATTTATTTTAAATAATCGATTATTTTTAAATTATCTATTTTTTTTTTCGTATTTCCATTGAAACAGATTATTCGATAATCTTTGAAAAATCTAAAATGATCGATTAATCAAAAATAATCGATTAATCAAAAATAATCGATTAATTAAAAAGTCGAATAATCGATAAATCGATTTTAAAAAAAGAATTATTTCCTTTAAAATCAATTATTCGATCATTTTTAAAACATCGAAAATAATCGCTTAATCGAAAATAATCGATTAAGGGAAAATAACCAATTAATTAAGAAGCCGATTCTACGTTACATTGATTTTCCAAAAAAATAACTGAATTATCGATTATTTTCAAATTATCCTTTTGTTTTCATATTTCATTTAAAATTAATTATTTGATTATCTTTGAAAAATCGAAAATAATCGAATAATAAAAAGCTGATTGACCGATAAATCGATAATACTAAAAAATAACCGAAATATCTGTTATATACAATAACCGATTATATTCGATCAATCGATTATTTTCATATAATCTATTTTTTCGCAATTTCTTTAAAACAAATTATTCGAACACCTTTAAAAAATTGAAAATAATCGATTAATCTAAAATATTCGGTTAATCGAAAATAACCGATTAAGCGAAAATAACCAATTAATTAAGAAGCCGATTCTACGATAAATCGATTTTCCAAAAAAAAATAACTGAATTATTGATTATTTACAAATAATCCTTTTCTTTTTTCATATTCCTTTTAAAATTGATTTAATTTTCTTTGAAAAATCGAAAATAATCGATTAATAAAAAACTGATTGACCGATAAATCGATAATTCTAAAAAATAACAGAAATATCGATTATATAATATAACCGATTATATTCGATCAATCGATTATTTTTATATAATCTATTTTTTTTATTTTAAAACAAATTATTCGAATACCTTTGAAAAATCGAAAATAATCGATTATTCGAAAATAATCGAATAATCGAAAATATTCTATAAATCGAAAATAATCGATTAATTTAAAAAGTCGATCAAACAATAAATCGATTTTTCAAAAAAAAAAAAAAACGATTATTTTCAATAAATCTACTCTCTTTTTGTAATCCCTTTATAATTCCTTTACCTAAAAAAACGAAAACAATTTATTGAAAATGTTTGATTAATCAAAAATAATCGATTAATTATAAATTAATTATAAATCGATTTTCATGAAAACGATAAATCGATTATTTTTGTAACTCCTATCGGTCATGCTTTTATCCGAGCATTTAGCTCTAAAATTTATGGATTCGGATTTATTGATCCTGTTATCTTTGAAACCGCATTCGATTGTATAATAAATATTGCTAGAATTTAGATTTTTTTAGTAAACGAAGATTTTTTTTTCGAGTTGTTTAGGGGTTTATAATGTAACATTTTACTAATAATATGACTAATTTCCGTAACTTTAGTATTTTTTTGCTTATACTAGATCATATTGCGCGTTTTACTTTATTTTAAAACTTAAGATTCAAATGTCACTTCCGATTTAACCGCAAATAAAATGAACCTTGAAATTTTAAGTAGGTGACCCTGTATTTCATCTAATATTCTTGTAAAAATACCTAATAAAGGGCTAAAAACCACCTTTAGTAAATATTCTTATAAAACTACATTTAAAAACAAAATTTCGTTAGTAACAATGCCTATTTACTTCTTATTTAGATTAAATGTTTAAAATTTTACTCTTTTTGACGCTTAATATTTATTGAAGCCCCTTAATGCGGATCTGAAGTATTCAGCTCAAAGAATCATGGCGACTTTATGTCAAAACGTCAACAAAAATTTACCGCTGAAAACGAATATACTTGTTCCACTTTTTTCACTTTAAATTGTTAATAAACAATAGTAGCGCGATCTTCAAGGTGAAATAATTGGTATATTTGGATTCAGCGGGACAAAAAACATAAAATAAACATTATCTGCAGAGGGGCCCTTTTATTGAAAGTTTGGGAATTAATTAAGTAATGTTGGCACCGCGCAAATTGTATGCAAACCATTATTTGATAAATACTTTCACTTCTACTAACCGTGGTCAAAATTTCAACATTTCCTCAATTATCGACTATTTATAGGTTAGTCCGGTCAGTTGATGCTGGCATAAATCGAGATGCCCTCTACGGAATCGTATGCAAATGTCGGATAGTGTTTAATGGGTCGAAAGGAGTCGTTCCACGAAAGGGCATACTTTCCTCGATCATCGTCCATCAACAGTGGGAAATTGCCACTTCCGATTCGTATGCCTCCTTCCGGCAGCGACCTAGACGTATGCAAACCGGCTAGCGCCCGGTTATTTTTTCAAGATACGATAATGTATCCACATGGCCGAGCTTCCTCGTTCATCGAATACTTAACCCTTTTTTTTCAACCGGAAGTGGAGGTCAGCAGGTGCAAGGACTGGTCACAGACGCTCGGAGGCACTTTTTCCCGGTTTCCCAAGCCTCCTGAGTATATCCCCAAAAGGGCATACGAACATAGGTTATCGACAATGTTTGTGTCATGGGCCAACGGTCAGACATTTCGGAGCAATTCGGGTGGCGTCGTGAACACAATGATTTTTAATTGGTGGGTTACTTGGGTTTAAAATAGACAACATGCGCAGTGTGCAATGTTACATCTCCGGTCTCTTTTATCTAAGATTAGAACATAATAAGCGGAAAATAACAGTAATGTGTTAGAAAAAGTTTTCCATCATACGAACTTGCCTCGTTAATGTAAAAACTCGGCCTAACATGTACGTTACCCATTGGGTCCTATGATTGAACGTTTACGTTATCCGTAACGTACATGTTAGGCCGAATTTTAAAAGTAACGAGGCAAGTTCGTATGATGGAAACCTGTTAAATTAGAACATAACAGGCGGAAAATAACAGTAATGTGTTATGAAAGACTTTACATCATACGAATTTGTCTCTTTGCTGTTAAAACTCGGCCTAACATGTACGTTACGGATAACGTAAACGTTCAATCATAGGACCCAATATCGCGAATTATACCCAAACCGAAGCAACCAAACCACAAGATATTTCAAAATATTTATAACCGATTGGGTGAAACACCTGTGCAAAATTTGCTTTAAAGAGATTATCCTGCAAGAGTTGAGTTTTGTCAGTGGCCAAGGAGGAAACAGAATAATAACCGAACATTTCTGAATAAAATTATTTTTGCTGATAAAGCAACATTCACCAGACACTGCGTTTTTAATTGGCGAAATAGTCATGGCTGGGAAACTGAAAACCCTCATGTAAATATAGTACGAATTTAAAATAAATGTCTGGTGCGGTTTAATAGGAGAATCATGTTTAAATTTTTTAACCAATGACTTAAACGATATTTTGGATGATCTTCCATTACAATTAAGAAGAAAAATGTGGTTCATGCAGGATGATACACCTCCACATTTTTTACTGGTTGTACGTGATTACCTGAATCAAACTTTCCCTCACCGTTGGATTGGTCGTGGTAGTAAATTTCAATGGCCACCTCGCAGCCCCGACTTTAATCTACTGGATTTTTATGTGTGGGGTTACATAAAAGCTATTTTTTATTCTCAGTCTATAAATTCCAGAGACGAGTTATGGAATAGAATTGTAGATGCGGCTGATTCAATTAGAAATAATACCGCCACATTTTTTAAGATCAGACGATCCTTAAGTAAACGGGTACAAAGGTGTATAAGAGTTGGTGGTGGCCATGTTGAAAATATTTTGAAGTATTTAGTATTTCAAGTTGAATATTAACAATATTATGTTGGATGTATGTTTTAGGTAAATTCGTTTTAGTTAAGTAATGTTGTTGTTATGGTTCTTGTTCAAATGTTTTATAATTTTGTCTTTATTTTTAGGTTAAAATACCAGAATACTTTATACTTTTATTTATTTGAAGTCATTAATTTTATATTTGAAGATTACCATAATTTAATCATAATGTTTACCTTGTTCGTAATGCGCCACATGGATCTGTATTATATACCTAACGAGATTAATTTTTTAGGAAAGCCCTGTTTGCGACATCAACAGCTTTTGTCGCATAACACGCAATTCAAAGGAGTCATAAAATTTCCTAATACCGATGAAATGTTAGGCTTTTACAAACACTTCGCTTCCTGGCCAACCATAACAATTGACTTTTTAGACAGTTGTATGAAAATGGATCCTAACCACAGACTGACATCAGACGAACTTCTAAAACACAGGTATTGTCACGATAAAAGTAATAAATTAAATCCAGTTGTTTTATTTGGCCTTTGGGTACCTTTCTCTGACGCGCTTTCACGAAAGAACGCATGGGTTGGTTCAATCGTTTTATCTTCAAGTGAGCGATAACATATCTAGAACAGTCATTTTATCAATTTTTTGTTTCTCTCTCACCCACCCAACACCTTTGCTGTAAGGAAACGTATTTCCTATTATTCGCTCCGTGCGCGACAGCAGCGCCAATTTGTTTTGGTATTAAAGGAGTATTTCTGCCTATACTGACAAATACAATTTTTAATAGAATTCGTAAATAAAAAGTATATATGTTAGTTTTAATAAAAGTATATGGATTTATAAAACAATTAAAACATTAATTTATTATTATTATATATTTTTCACGCTTAAATTGAAGAAAATTATGTATAATCATTAAAAATCAATAATAAAATATAGGCAGGCAACAGTATTTACTGGAAAATGTATGAGAAGTTGCCTAAGTCTAATAAGTTGTCATTGAAGAAACCATTTATAATAGCGTGAAGTTAAAATGTATAAAAGGATCGCTACTTATATTTTCATTTTTGTTCTAAAGAAAACATAGAATGAATGATTAAAACTGGTTTCCGATCAGTAAGTCACAAAATTGCATACCAGCCAAATATTATAATCAACGGCAGAAATCTTGAAATCTAGTCCTTGCTGAATGAACATTAAAGAATAAAGGGATATTAAAGAACATCGTAAAATGATAATTTATTGTTTATTTAAAAACTTTCTAGTTTCTGATGTCTACTATTTCCAGCATTACTGTTATTATCACAAAAATAAAGGTAATTTTTCTTCTTATTGTACACCTATCCATTTATTTCTTTGATTTAATTTCCACTTTGTTAGTGAAATTTTTTATATAAGTTTCACTGTTTTTTTTTTGCTAGTATTTGTACATTTCAACACAGCAACTCCGGTTGCTTATTGTGTTGTTTTTACCTACTTTTTTGAAAAAAAGTAAAATGTATACGTGTATTTGATATGCCAAAATTACAAAATATCCCCCTAAAATGCACGAATTATCCGCAGCTAGCGCTAGTATCGCTTTTGCTTCCCTTTCCATGACTTCGCACGGAGCGAATAAAAAGCATCAGGAGTGCGTTCAGAAATAGAGAGCGTCAAATTTTCAATCGTCCGGACAAAATTTGTCGGAACGGTTATTTTTTCCCGATAAATATGAACAGTAAGTGCAAAGTATTGTCAAATCAAGTTTTTGGTTGTTTTTTCTGTTATCTGAGATTGTAGGAATTATGAAAAATTAGTAAATAGGTAACATCATTGACGTCCACATAGACTTTTTTATGGAAAAATCCAATTCAATACCTTTAATTCTGTGTCATAAAATTTTATCATTTTCTATAATGAAATTACCATCGTTTCCGACAACTAGACGATAATTGATGGAATTAATTCTCTCACTCATACTCAAATTTAAATATTTTTTACTCAAAAAGTAAAAATAGGAAATTAAATACTAGGTGGTTCTCTTAGGTTAATTAGGGTTATGACGTACTGCGCAAGTCGAGTAAAAATTACCCTTCTCAACACGGTGGGTAAAATTTCTTCATCCCGACGCGTTTTTCTTTTAAATAGGAACGCTTTTTTGAATTTAAACAATGTCCGGACGCATTTACCCTACATTCCTGAACGCACCCCAGTGGATAGATACATTGTATATATCTGAGTTCCCACTATTAAACTAAGACGCTACACTCTGTTCGCTATACTTACGCGGGTTTCAGATTAAAATTTTTATGAGTATTTCCAGGTAAGTACCCGAAAGTTTGACCTGTTCTTTGGGGAAATATCAACTGGTTAAATGAAATGAAAAGTAATGTACAACTTTTTAATTAAATAATAATAGAGAATCTTTTGTATAATTGAGAGCAGAATTAAACTTCTTCATTAATGGAGTCTAATGTGGCTATTATAAAACTAATAATAATTTTATATTACTCTTCATACAGAAAATATGGTCTATGTATAATAAGAGGGTTATTTAGCTTAAATAAAATATTTTCTAACATAAAAATTTGTTCCATGTAGAGAATTTCAAATGAAAAATAAAAAAATTGAACTTGCCAACAAAAATGAAAATCAGTCATTATCATCCAAAATATCATAATCGTCATCATCATCACTGTCATCACCATTAATTGTTATTATGATTGGACTTATTTCATTTATTTTATTTTCACGAGTCCACCTATCTTCTATTAGTTTCTCGCACTTGGATATACAGTTCCGACACACTTCTGGAGTTGCAATTGAAAGTGCTTTTCGCAAAGTCTCCCGAACTGCGCCGTCACTATAACCATTAGGCCCAATATGGTTGTCATAATATTGTTCTGCTATTCCCCATATATATTCGACGCGATTAAACTGGCAATGATACGGTGGCAGACATAAAATTTGATGACCGTAACTTTCAATAATCTGATCCACAACAAAGATTTTTGGTTTTGCGTGTATATTTGCCAAGCGTAATAATTCTGATTTTAATATTTATTGAGGAACTGGTATATGTTCCTTTGTCAACCATTCTTTAATTTTATCAACAGTCCAAGAATTCGTTGGACTTTTGTTTAATTCTTCAGAATGGTAAGGGGCATTGTCTAAAATAATTACGCTGAGTTCACTTAAACCTGGGAGAAGTTTTTCATGCAACCATTTTACAAATATTTCTGTGTTCATATTATCGTGATAGTCACTGGATTTTGATTTAGATGAAAATATTAAATCAGCACCTTCTATAAAACCCGATTTCCCGTCTCCATCGGTATGTTTGATGGACTTTACGTTATCATCTTGCCATATTCTCTTGGTTGCACCGCTAGAAAATATCCATGTTTCGTCTAAATATATAAAATTCGTCCCTTCTTTTTTAAATTTAGAATATTTTCTTAGAAAGTTAATTCTCTTGTGCACGACAGAACTTCTTTCACAAAGGACCTTTCTGTTATCCTCCGTTTTAAATTTGAAACCCAAGTTATGTATCACTTGCCATAGACTTGTTCTGCCAATGTCGTCAAATTTTCTATCTATTAATTCCGAGAAAATTGTATTTAAGGTCACATGTTCCTTGTTGGCCCTCATTCGATAAATGCTATCACGAATTTCAAATTTCTTTCCATCTAGAATATCTTTCGTTTTCAATGATGGGCGAGTTTTGCGGTGATCTTCTTTCGGCAGTTCACTATTGTAATTTTGTAATACTCCTCTTAATTTGGTTTCACTAATTCCTACCTAGAGCATCGCATACGTTGTACAGACATTACAGATTTTAAAGGACCGCCACTTTCTTTGTCATCCGTAAAATACTTATGTACACTACAAATTAGACTATCTACATCTAACACACGTCTAGGCATTTTTAAAATTTCCACTAAATTTACAATATACATACAATATCAACACTTGCAAAGAATCAATTCAACTGCAATATTTGTAACAAATTTAGTACCTACCCTAATGTTATTTTAATTTAAATCTGACCATTAGGGCAATTTTACCTAATTTCTTGAAAAGAGGCTTGTTGGAACTGGTTGTCAATGACTAATTTGCATAATTTTGTTAATTCGAAACCCGCGTAAGTATAGCAAACAGACTGTACTAACATTACTAAAACAGCTATTTATAAAACAAGTTACGAAATGACTTATTTTATGTAACGAGTGAATATTTGCAGGACGAGCAGAGCGAGGTCCCGCTACATGAACAAGTTACATAAAATTTAATCCGATGACGTCATATATTGACAAATATGACAGATGATAAAATGATAAAAGTGCATAAAATAAACAAAAAAAACTTTATTCGGTTAATTTTTAATACAATGTCACAACAATATGTTTAATTTAACAATAGCTGAACTTTATTACAAATTAAGCAGTATATTATTTTCACCACTTAATTGTCCCTTATCAATCAGCGCATGACTAATTGAGGCACTATTTCAATGATTACGGGTATTCCAAAATAAAATCAAACGATGTTTATATGAAATTTAAGGACATAAAAACTGATAAATAATAATAAAAATATTTTAGCTTCTTCACGCATGATATGTTTCCGCAAAGATTTTTACCAGCTCTTAGAGAAAAAGTCAATATTGAATTAAACAACCCACTTTTGAGGAAATACAAAACCGAAATATTGATGTCTACGGATAAAAGGGACGAGACCAGGAGAAAACCGAGTCGGGAATCTAAATGGAGGTTTTCGTTGACTGAAGGTTAGTATTTATTATTCCTTCTATTTTTTAAGTATTATTAATCTTCTACGATTTTATGTTAACTGGTGAAGAGCGGATCAATTTTTTTTATACTTCTCTTTTTAATAATATTTTTAAAACAGCCATGCTTCCAAATAATTGATACGATATCTTTACTGTATATGCTACATAAGGCAGATCCCCTCATGGCCCTTTGAACAGAGGTTGGACAATAAATAGATTAATATGGGCCTCAATAGTGCAACCACACTATCTTACTTTAAACCTGGCTTCCTAGTCCTTCACTGTACACGGGTTCTTTAATGAAGGAAACCAGAAAGACTGAAAAAGCACTGTTTCCTCAATACAAACTGCATTATCATTTTGTAGCGGGTGTTCGGTTTTCATTTGGCTACCCCTCATAGATCATACACAAATATACTCTCAACTCAATATAAAATATATAAAATCAAATTTACTTAATTTCAATATTAGGAAAACATCTCACGATCCTACACGGAGAGTTTCTTACCCAGAGAGGCCAAAAATCCACACATTATGTCCCAAATTAACTTTTTTTAATTTTTGTTACTAGCTTATAATTTATCTCATGTTAATTATAGTCCAATTAAATAACGAAAAAAAAAAACCCTGTGAGCTTAAATTAATTTGTAATTGGATGAAACAAAGTGGGCCTTATGTATTTTGATGTGATCTTTCCGAAAAAAATCAAAAAAGATGTAGCTGTTGTACAATTTTTTTTAAAATTAGGAAAAACCGGGTTTTCCGGAATTTTCCATGTTAAAAATGCTAATTATCTGGGCAAGTATCATTCCGATAGTAAAAATAAATGCACCAATCGAAAGAGGAAGCAAAAATAGTTCGGAAATTCATTGCACAGATAGTTTTAATGGCGAATTTCTCGCCGCCAGAAGTGCCTTTGCCAAAAAGTTGTTTTTTCGTTTCTTTGATCAGAACCATGGACATGAAATTTGCGATGAATTTGTGGCGAAATTATAAATGTGCCCATGAGAGAAGTTGCGTATTTTTTTGCTGGCTCTCAAATAAAATAACTCCCGCGGCGAAATCTGCCATAATTTTTCGGGAATTCGCAGGAAACCGGAAGGCGTAGTTTTTTTAAATTTTTTTCCCATATAATTTTATCCGGGTTTTCCGAAAACATCTAACAAAAAAATATATTTGAAAAGAAGAAGTCCAAAAAACCACGTGTACACAGAGCTTGCTGAACACGCTTATTAAAAATCTATGCCGATGAACACTATCAAGCGATTCAATTTGTAATAATATGACCGTTTGAAGTTTAAACTTGTCGGATAGCGAACGCCGAAACCATGGCTATCCTTGATGCGACGTGCGGCTAATTTTACGGTAATTCTATATTTTGCACAAAACTCAAGAAACGTCTTAAAACAAGTCAGTAAAATACAATTTAATAAATTTTAAGCCTAATAAATTTAGGTAAGCAAGAAATTTAAAACTGGAAATAGCAAAAAAATCAAATTATAGAAATGCAGTGTATACACGAGTTTTGGATCTCGCGGACTGCGTGTAATGGGACTTTTGTCGGGAGAATTCTACAACTTAGAAGAAACATACACACTTTAAACTTTGTATACACATTCAGAAGACATGAAATTTGGGTTTTCTCAATTTTCAGACAAAAAAACTGAAAATCGTCAATTTTAGGCAACTTTTCTCAAAAACCGTGTTTTTTGGTCGTCACTCAATAAACAGTGGTCAAAAAAATAGATAAAATATTTTTGCAGAATTTTCCGTAATGTAATCGTATTGTAGACACAATAAAATACTCCAAAAAAAAGTTTTGATCCATTGGGTGCATTTTTGGCATTTTTTGTGCCACTTCAAACTTTCTAAAAAAAACTTAGTTTTTTTTAGGGAAAAAAATTTGTTTGTTTGATATCTTGGCCAATTATAGTCCGATTTCGGGGAAATTCACACAGACATAAGATTTTAAATTCAATTGTAAGCTCTGTAAGTGGCATTAAAAAAATTCAAGTAATTTGGCCGTTGTAAGCAAACAATATTAGGCCCGCGGTACACTTTGCCATTCCGCCATGTGCCCAATTTTGGGATTTATCTTGCCCCCTTCTGGGAATCAATAGTCACATCCCTTAAGTTCAAAACGCATTTCTGTTTTTTCAAATATCTTAATTTTTACCAAAGTTATGAAGAATTTAGTGTTTGAACATTTAACAAATTCAATTTTTTGACCTTCGCCGCCTCAAAATACTAAACAAATTTGAATCGTCCATACCGCGAGAACGGTGCATTGAATCAAAATTTCTCAAAAGACATGAAAATTAGCATTTTTCCTAAGCTTTCAAATGTCGTAAACTGCGTTTTGAAAATATTGATTTATTTCCGACATGCGCCTGCGCAAAATTGAAAAATTGACAAAATTCAAAATTTCGGCACTTTCGAAAAACAGCTACATTTTGTTTTGCCTTTTTTCTAAAAGATCACCTCAAAATACATAGAATCCATTTTGTTTCATCTAGTTACAATTTAATGTAAGCTCAAAACCCGTAATTTAATTCGATTATTAATAATAATTAATATCGGAAATAGTCGAAACTTTAAACAAATCCGCGAATAATCAAACAATGTTTATGAACCGGGTATTATTTTATATAAAGTATGACAATATTCCAAATTTCAAATATATTAGAAAATCTAACTGACATTTTTAGTGAAATTAAAATTTTCATTTAATCAATCAACTATTCTGAGTGACATTAAAGGTGAGAACGCATTAGATAATCGCAGTTCTTTCGCATCGCGGGCTGTGCTAGTTTCTATCGCATCGCGAGATTCTATGGACAAGATGAGAGGAGAACGCGAAGCGAGCGAGCACAGCTCGAGAACACCAAGTAGAAATGCATGCGTTATAAAATATTGGAAAGAACTTCACCGCGCGCTTGTGTAACTAGCACAAACCGCTATGCGACGGGACCACGATTGCCTAATGCGTTCTCGCCTTTAGAATGCAAAATAAATAGATTATTTTTGCCTTAAAGAAGCATCCTAATTTCTTAAGATTGACAACTGTTATTGTTTATATCTGATCATCTTGACTACATGTATTATGTAGGGGAAGTACCCCAAAACAGTCACATGGAAAAGCCTTCATAGGTAGACCATGTCCCAAAAGAACTGGAGAACTACTCTTAATGAATAGGAACCAGTTGAAAGTGATAACAGGGTTCATGACTGGGCACGCCCCAGTAAAGGGACACTTGAACAAAATTGGCATGTACAATGGGGAACTCATGTGCCGACTATGTCACAAGAAACCAGAAACGGCCAAATACATACTGTGCGAATGCGAAGTTCTAGATCGCAAAAGACAGGCTCTTTTTGGACAACCCCATACGGTCTAGGACGTTTCGACGCGGCCATTTCGACGCAGCCGTTTTGATGCGGCCGTTTCGACGCGAGGACATTTCGATGCCGGTCGTTTCGACGCCGGGCCGTTTCGACGCCAACTGTATTTTGTTTAAGTAGGTAATAATTCATACAAAATAATATATTTGAAATGTCTCTTTTAATTTTATTAATAATGCATAATATAATTATGTGATATTGCTTTTAAATATTTGTTTATATTTCTCTTTTTATAATCGATGTTTAAAATCCTCTCGTCACAATCGCGATGTTTTTTTTATTTAGCTGGCGTCCGCTGGCCCAACAGTAATTGTTCATAAAACAAGTGCCTTCCTGTTTGTATCTTTTTAAGTGCATCAATAAATTTCCATATCGTTAGATGATCTATAGACATTTCGTTTTGAAGTAGTCTGTGTGCAGCTTCGGCGTGGTTGTTCATTCTGTCTGTACCCTCCAAAACGCGGTTGTAGACAGACCACAATGTGATCGGAAAGGGTGGATTGCGCCTTCTTCGACCCTGTCGTTGAGGACGTCCTACGTATGAGTCCTCGAACCATTCTATTAGAGGTTGCAACTCGTTAGACAATTCTCCAAATAAATGGTCGATTGCAATATCCATGTCTTCTTCAGGAACAAATGCCAAAATGTTCACCGTTCGTGCATGAAGACTGAAATCAGCATCGGTATTATATCGAACCAGGAAATTCATTTGCGCCAAATGTTTTTTCATATTTTTCACCAAATTAAAAAAAACAACCTAGCAGCTCTGCATTTGGAAACTCTTCTTTGAAAGCGTTTATGGCACCCAGTTCAAAATCGCATGAAATTTTTTCCGAATTTGCAGCTGGCTGTAAATGTCCCATCATACCAATCATTTGGGCATATGTAGTTTGCCGTTTGTTGGGCAGGAGAGCATAAAGAACAGGATGAACTCCCCCAAATTATTTAGCTATAATTATGTAGGTAAAAAATTGAGGCAGTTGGTTTAAATGTTCCATCAACAAACCAATGTTTTGAGTCCTTCAAAATCTGTAAATACAGGGTGGTCCTAAATTCATGCGACAAAATTTCCTCAGCCCACGCCTTTCCGAGATATCACCCTTAAAAGGTGGTGACTAAAATTCAGTTTTTATTTTTTTTCTAAAATTTCAGTAAAGCTTGAAACTTGAAATTTTGTAATTTTCGTGCACTCACAAAGGACTAACCACGGGTATTTTTTCATTATTCCTGTTACATTATAAGGGGGTGAAATTAACAACCCTTACTTTATTTCACATCAAAATTTTTTTTCGAGATGAAGTTTTATGAAATAAAATTATAACTTGAAAGCCTTGTTTCATTTAAAAAAAAAAATATTTTTAAATTTTTTTCCCAAAACCAATAGCTTCAGAGAAAAAAATAAACACATTAATTTATAATTTTTTTAATAAATTGAGTGGAAAACAGTAAAGATGTAAAATTTAATACGATTCATAATATTGAAAAAATACCCAAAGTTAGTCCTTTGCGAGTGCACGAAAATTACAAAATTTCCAGTTCATAACTGAAATTTTAGAAAAAAATAAAAACTCAATTTTAGTTACCACCTCTTAAGGGCGATATCTCGGAAAGGGGTGGGCTGAGGAAATTTTGTTATAGGAAAGACTCATCTTAATTTCATACGAGGAATCACCTCCTGAATGTTGTCACATAAATTTAGAAACACCCTGTATATATATTGTAATGGAAATGAATTATCGACATTTAGGATCAAAAATTAGTTAATTGTTTAATCTAACTAGGATCAGGTACCTAAAATGGGATAATGAACTACTTAATATAACATTATGTATTAATATTAATATTTAGGTAATTCATTAAAAATCTTTTTAGGTACCTAATTTTCAGAGATTAATTGTTTATGCCTTTTATAGATATGAGAACATAAGCCAGCTAATGGTTACATATTTACTGCAGCTATATATCAATGCTTACTGCGAATATTTAAGGAACAAGATAAATTACCCAATTTTATACAAAGAATAGATTTGCAAAAAAATAGACATTTCAAATATTTTTTTTGAATAATTTATTACCTACTTAAAAAAAATTACATTTGGAGTCGAAACGGCCCGGCGTCGAAACGGCCCGGCGTCGAATCGGCCAGCGTCGAAATGTCCTCGCGTCGAAACGGCCGCGTCGAAACGGCTGCGTCGAAACGTCCCATTCCGACCCCCGGTTGATCCAACAACGTATAGAACCCACTCACCAAAGGATCTGTACAAACTTGTACAAGGTACAAAGGTGATAGAGTGGGTGCTTTGAACTAACATGGGGTAAAACACAATAAGCCAATAGGCTTCAGTGTTATTCGGAGACACATAGTCAGACGAGCCCAGCAAAAAAAAACATGTATTATGTTAGTTGTTGATCTGAAAATGATTATTTAACAATGCTTTCTTCACTTTTTTTATATTCGGTAAATTCTTGCATATCAGGGTTAAAAAAATAAATATTTTCCACACACTTATATATTATTTATAATAATAATAATAATAATAATAATAATAATAATAATAATAATAATAGCAATAAAAGAATTAAATTTTAACAACGATCAAAGATTGATAAAATTAATTTTTTAGGTATATTACCGTTATTTAAACGCAGAAAACCCGTTGATATGAGCCCAACTTACAACCCTGATACACAAGCAAATTAAAGATTTTACATTTCATTTTAAAATTATTGTCTTATCTTTTACCACGTATGGAACAAATTATGTAACGTTTTAAATAAAAAGCTAAATACAAGATTTTGTTTCTTTGTTTGTGTACAGTTTCCTATTTTTTATTCTTAATTATTTTAAAAGTATAATAAGGTAACTCAAAAAATCGTAGTAAATGAAAAATTAGTGAAATCGCAAAATTGTAGATGATAGATAAGATTGATAGAATGCAGAATCATGTAAAAGAAAATAAAAATTATAAGATAAAAGAACTATTTTAATTACTAGCATAACGAATAACAAAAAAGGGTAATCATAAAAGACTAAAGAAAAAAGTTTTTTGTTTTAAATGATTTCATTAATTGTTTTTTGGATCTTTTTTAATTCCATTGTTTTGATTTATTATTATAAGGATATGGATACTCATACTGATACTCATACTGATACTCATACTGATACTCATACTGATACTCATACTGATACTCATACTGATACTCATACTGATACTCATACTGATACTCATACTGATACTCATACTGATACTCATACTGATACTCATACTGATACTCATACTGATACTCATACTGATACTCATACTGATACTCATACGGATACTCATACTGATACTCATACTGATACTCATACTGATACACATACTGATACTCATACTGATACTCATACTGATACTCATACTGATACTCATACTGATACTCATACTGATACTCATACCGATACTCATACTGATACTCATACTGATACTCATACTGATACTCATACTGATACTCATACTGATACTCATACTGATACTCATACTGATACTCATACTGATACTCATACTGATACTCATACTGATACTCATACTGATACTCATACTGATACTCATACTGATACTCATACTGATACTCACTGATACTCACTGATACTCACTGATACTCATACTGATACTCACTGATACTCACTGATACTCATACTGATACTCATACTGATACTCATACTGATACTCATACTCATACTGATACTCATACTGATACTCATACTGATACTCATACTGATACTCATACTGATACTCATACTGATACTCATACTGATACTCATACTGATACTCATACTGATACTCATACTGATACTCATACTGATACTCATACTGATACTCATACTGATACTCATACTGATACTCATACTGATACTCATACTGATACTCATACTGATACTCATACTGATACTCATACTGATACTCATACTGATACTCATACTGATACTCATACTGATACTCATACTGATACTCATACTGATACTCATACTGATACTCATACTGATACTCATACTGATACTCATACTGATACTCATACTGATACTCATACTGATACTCATACTGATACTCATACTGATACTCATACTGATACTCATACTGATACTCATACTGATACTCATACTGATACTCATACTGATACTCATACTGATACTCATACTGATACTCATACTGATACTCATACTGATACTCATACTGATACTCATACTGATACTCATACTGATACTCATACTGATACTCATACTGATACTCATACTGATACTCATACTGATACTCATACTGATACTCATACTGATACTCATACTGATACTCATACTGATACTCATACTGATACTCATACTGATACTCATACTGATACTCATACTGATACTCATACTGATACTCATACTGATACTCATACTGATACTCATACTGATACTCATACTGATACTCATACTGATACTCATACTGATACTCATACTGATACTCATACTGATACTCATACTGATACTCATACTGATACTCATACTGATACTCATACTGATACTCATACTGATACTCATACTGATACTCATACTGATACTCATACTGATACTCATACTGATACTCATACTGATACTCATACTGATACTCATACTGATACTCATACTGATACTCATACTGATACTCATACTGATACTCATACTGATATTGATACTTCATACTCATACTCATACTTGATACTTATACGGATACTCGATACTCATAAATATAAGGAGTGAATTCATAAACGACATATTCTCCATATCCTGACACTCCGATAGCTTAAGGGAAGACTACTTTTCTCAAGGATAAATTTATGACTTGAGTGAGTTTTGCAATCTGGTCATATTATCAGATGAGAACCGTACCAGAAATGTGGTATACAAAGAGATTCTTAATTAGATTAATATACTTAAATAATAGAATACTCTACTTAACTTTAATCTATAGTAACACATACATACCATGAACGCCAAAAAAACATATCGCTCCTTTTTTTGGAAAGTCGTGCATTTTTTTATGTTAAAAACACGACTCCGAGCGTGCAAAACCGCGGACAACAGCTATTATTTACATATTTATAAATTTGAACATTTTATTAACAATACATGAAATCTATTTAAAGTTAAAACACTTTGTCCAGTCCCTTGTTTGTCCCCTGTTATTTCGATATTGTGATTTTAATTGTGGCTGTCATTAAGTACAAAAAAAACTAGTTGAAAAAACTGGGTTGAACATTTAGCGATCTGTGCCATGAAGGATTTTGTTAAGTGAATTATCTGATCAAAGATTGTGTATTAAACAAAAAAAAATTATAAAATATTTTAATAATTGTTTAAAATAAATAACTAGGTTTTAGGTATAAAAGTCAATGTTAACAATGTAGTCATTAAATCAATTTTACATTAATATAGACAATACATAAATCAAAATAGAAGTGATGCATCTGACAGTAGAAGATAGTGAGTGCAGATTCTGTGAGGAGGGGGACGAAACCTTCATTCACATTCTGACTGAATATGTAGCACTCCAGAATGTAAGGGCACTGTACTCAGGAACACATCAAATAGAAAAGGGAGAGTTACCTAACTTAAAGCCACTCCAAATCCTACACTTGAGAAGATAGGATTGGAAGGGTCGTTATAGGCAACGAGACATTTCCTTGTTGCATTAGCGACAAAAGGGGGCACAATAGATCTTCTAGGTCGCAGTGTACACCCCATTCCCAACATAACATGCGTTGGACATATTTGACAGCTGATGTGGAAAGTAGATTCATAATCATACATGGGCAGAAAATAAATTATGCACATTCGTGTACTACCTTTTAGAATAGTGTGATTTGTGTCACTTTCTTAAGTGATGGTAGGAAATTAATTTTTGACGAGTTTTCCAATGAAGCATTGCACATTATGATTGCGATTTTTTTGTGGTTAGTTAATTAGAACAGTACAGCTGGATTTTCGGTAGTCTAGTAACGTCATTTAAGTTACCTTGCCGATTGTATGTTTTTATATAGTAAGTATATAAAAACGAGCAAATATTATTTGTATTATTATTTTGTAAATATTATTTGTTGGCATCTATCGCAATTATCTCTCAATTCCCCTTTTGGTAATTCGCGCAATTTCTCGGCAATTTCTAGACACATCCTATAGTTCCCGGCCAGTTTCTTGTTAATTCCCGCAATTCCCACAATTCCTTTTAATTATTCGTTTAAAACTATAAAGACCTCGTAATTCCCTTTCCTTGAACACCTAATTCCCTCTGTGGTTTATCCCTCGACATCTACTTACAGTACTAAAGTACTGTCTGCCATAACACGCGTTTTATTAATCATGCCCAATTAATACTAAAACTTTGCTAATTTCAGGTACGATGAAGAGAAAACTTAGCCAAGACGCTTCCAATAACGAACCGGCGGTGACGAGTGACAAAAATTTGATCACTCTTTCCAAAACAGCGCAACGGTTGAACGTTCTGAAACATAGATCCGGTCAAGTTCAGCATCTCGTCACTAAAGATCGATCCACCAAACTCACTTCCAGCAACAACAATTCGGAAATTCAAATGTTGGAAAAAAGTCTCGAAAGTTTAGTCAAGTTTAGTAGTCGAACGGTAAGTAATAAATACCTACCATATAAATAATAATTTAGTGCTATTAGAACACAAATAATTTTTTTCTCCTACGTGTACCTGTGGTTTTAGAATCATTCGATAGAGCTTCCACGATATATTCATAACCAGTCTTTAACTCATTTCATTAAAAATAATAGAGCTACCGGATGCTATTAAAAGGTGGGCAATTTATAAGTTGAATTATAAATTAGCAATGAGGACAAGAAAAATTAATTTTTTTCCAACAAATTTAACTTTATTTAGTACAATATTTCTTCCGATTAAGTATGGAAAATTATTTTATTTAAGTGGCCACCTCGACTGACTTGGCAGTAGCCCATCCTGGATCACCAATTTTCAAGCATTTTTTCAACAGTTTACTGCTCTATTTGTGCTTGAATGTTCTGTTTTAATTGCTCAATTGTTTGAGGATTATCCGCATAAACTTTATCCTTCAATGCGTCTCAAAGAAAGAAGTCGAGTGGTGTTAAGTCGCAGCTTCGAGGTGGCTAATTACACGATTATTAAATTTTGTGCGCAAAAGATTGATGGTGGCCGCGGCGGTATGGCAAGTTGCGCCGTCTTGTTGAAACCAGACCAGGAGGCTTATTCTCTAACCAACGTTTCTGAAAGCGCTTAGCGCGTCTCTCTAGAAACGCGACAAACAACAAAAGCGTAAAGCACGACGTTATGGTATTCTCTACTCGCTGTGCTGTGCGCATTTGAAAAACATACAGCGCTTTCAAAAAAGTTGCCGATGAGCAGCGTTTTGCTGTTCGCACTTCAAGTTTTGACATATGAGACTAAGATTTGTGAATGTAGATAAGCCAAACACTTAAAATATGGACTTAAATATTAATATATATCAAAATGTTATTCAAAACATCGAAGATGCTGAAAATCGCGAGATCCGACGCTACTATAACCCGGAGAAGGGTTTCGAACTTTCAGATAATCAATTTATCAAGCTATTTCGTTTGCAAAAGGATGATGTGACTAACTGAGCGGCTCTCAATGAACTCAGTGCCGAATCTACAAATAAAAACTGCATTGACTGTAAATAGAAAAGTGAGGATTTTAATAATTTAGATGATATAAAATATTATTAACTTTGAAATTTCTCATATTTTAGCTATTAGCACAGTAGGGCTTGCTTTTGAGCCCTAGAGAGTTACTTTTTCACCGCGTTCATATTTAATGATGAATTAATTATTAATTATATTATATATTATTCAAATACTAACCTTAGTTATTTAGACCAATCAACATTTACGATTTATAATTATGACAGCTTACGACAAAAATGAAAATCACTTGCGAATAGCAAAAGCGTCTAGCATTAAAAAATACCATAATCGCATGCTTGTCGTTTTGGTGATCGAACTTTGTTGAGAAGTCCGCTTGGCGCTTTCGTTGCTATTCGTTTTCAGCTGAAAGTTGCCACAAAAAGTACGTTATCATATCTCGATAGAGATTGTCATTGATCGTAACGGCGCCTCATTTTCAAGAGTAAAGGGTCCAATAACGCCGCCACTCCAAAATCCACACCACACAGTGACTCGATCTGGATGCATTATCTTTATTACGACGACGTGCGGATTTTCCGTGCCCCAAATCCTTAAGTTTTGTTTGTTAACATAACATCCGATGTGAAAATGCGCCTCATCCGAAAAGATGATTTTTTTGCAAAATCAGGGTCATCGTTCAAGTGGTTTAGAGTCCAGCAAAGCGAAAACGGGGTGGATGGTCAACTTTCTTCAACTCGTGAACGAGCTGGACTTTGTACGCAAACATACCGAGGTCTTTTTGCAGTCATCCACCTCAGAGTAGCACGGGAAAGGCCAAGATATTGACTTCTGCGACGAGTTGATGTTGACGCGTTAAGGAGTACTTTTTCGGCTAGAGCAGCGATTCCTTTAGGCGTATGCCTAGGATGAGCATGCGGAACATGTTTTACGTCCACCAGCATTCCAGTTTTTCGCACTTTATCAATAAAATTCTTAATTCCTTGGTTTGAAGGCGCCTCATTTTTTCCAAACTTTGTACGCAATTTTCGCGCTGTCTCGGCAACCACAGAGTCACACTCAAAATAGGTTTTGAGTATTTCAAAACGTTGATCTAGACTAAAGCGATGCATATTCGGTTAGCGGAAGGATAAAACTAAATTACTGTCAACAATTAATGAATTAATGGCAGTCAAATGGTCAACTTCATTAATAACACGCAGTTTAAAATTCAACATATTCATGACCCACCCGTTATATATATTGTAGCTCGGCTAAATAAACATTAGACGGAGATTCCTAAACAATGGCTCGTGGATTTTCAGATCATTCTAAAAAGAATATATTAATTTTTTACAAAAATAATTTAGTAAGTAAACGATAAAAATGATTAAATTTCAGGAACAAACAAAAACCGAATCGGAGGAATCCCCGCATTTCGACATTGGAGACTTCAATCGATCCCCAAATTCGCACCAGATTCTCCATCCAACTATAAACAATATCAGTTTTAGCAGAGAACCTATCAAAAAATCACCCAACATTCTTCAAAACATCAGCAACATGTCTAATTCAACAAGGCCGAATCAAGGTGAGCTAAAATTTGGAAATACTTTAAAAATTGACAAAATTATATAGGAAACTCTTGCTATTCAATAAAAAAATGTATAGAATGATAAATTATCTATATCTCAAATGTTGCCGGTTTACTCGAACAAAGAATATAAACTCGAAATCAATACCACATCAGTTTCGACTTCGTAGGACCATCTTCAGGCCTGTAATGCATAAAAAACTAACTTAAGATTGAAAAACAAACATTAAAATAGTATTAACTTACAAATAAATAACTCGTTAACTGTTGGAGCCCCACTCGACCATTCACTGTTGGGTTCTAATTAACAGAGCTGTTCCTGAACTGGCGCTGGAAAACAGTAACAAAGCATACTCAGCGTAAGTTACTACTATTCGAAGTTCACTAGGTTTTGTTTATAATCCCCAAGAAATTGATGAGATAAATGTAAGAATGTAGACTTTCACGGACGATGTCAATGTAATTGGAGGCTCCAGGCTGTTATGATCGTTCTTGGTTATTACTACCAAACGTTTCCGCCGCAACTTCGGCAGCCATCTTCAGTGGCATGGACGAAGTACACTTCTCGACGCATCAACTGAAACTGGAATCCTTCTTCACAGATCACTTACTTAAATTTGTTTGTCTTACTTTTGAGGACGGGTTCAAATCGATATAATCATGCGCATTTAAATTTACGTGTCCGGGTTTTTCCAAATCTAGTTCTAGAACACTCTAGGATTGAGTGTTTTGTGTTTTTTTCAATAACTGTCATTAACAATCCTAGAACCGTTCTCAATGATTTCCAAGAAAACCTGCGAACTGATGGGGACTGGATTTGTAGGCATGCGCAGAGAGCCATTTAACATAACCTGGTAGGGTTGTAAGGGGAGGTTATGTTTATTTGGTTTATTTTTGTTAGTTTGTTCTTGTTGTTGTCGGTTGGCATTTTATCTAGGTAGATGCTACTGTGTATTTTATTTAATCAAAAAAGTAACTGTCAGAGTCCTCTGTTGGTTGAATATTAAGTTAAAATAGTGTTCGAGTTTAATGCATTCTACATTGCGTTCGGTCTGCCAAGTTCCTTTAACTCCTTTAACACTTTTAACTCCAAACGACCCTTTTAGCTTTCGGTTAAGTCCGATTAGTGACAGTTTAAAACGCTTAAATGTCATTTAAAAGCACCCTAAAATTTGTCCCGCTCCAGCCCCTGACTATCCGAACTCGCCTCTAGTTGATTCTAGGACAGTACTAGAACCACATACTTTGATTACTATACGAGGCAAGAGAGAGGTCCGACACGCCCAACATAGGGCGCGGCCATTTTGAACCCTGTGGTTTACAGCTAAAGAATCAGATCGCTCACTCTGCGTCGGCACTTTTGATCTCAATATTTCAGTTTATACACTGTGCAACTCGGATAATACAATATATGACAACCGCCTATAATAAAACAGCAGTTTTCTGCGTATCCTGAATTTGTATCCCTGGAGTGGATGTTATTTTGGAACTTTCAACTGGTCCGTGTGAGCTAACTGATTCTTTAGCAATAAACTGTGACTTCAAAAATAATATTCACTGACACTGACAGCAGCAAGCAAAATATCAGGTGCGTTTTAATCATCCGCTTCTGCTTCCGGAATTGTCGGTTTAGTCGTTTTAACCTGTCAGATTAAAACAAGAAAACTGACAATTCCGAAGCAGAAGCGGATGATTAAAACGCACCTATTAAAAATATTGCGCCAAGATGTAGGCAACACGTAATAAGGGTTCAAAATGGCGGAGTTTTCTATCTCCTTTTAAAAGGCACTCAGAAAACTGCGCAGTGCGACCATTCTCCGTATAGTAAAAGAAAATCAAAGTAAGTGACTAGAACCATAATTTAGTGCGCAACTAATTTCACGTAGTTCTGAAACGTTTATAAAAATTGGTAAGCCGAACAAAGCTACTTTACTCTTCTTCTCTCAGACCTCATACTGCTTAGAGAGTGGTATTTATATGCGTTATATTGTAGTTCTTTTGATGTTTGTGTATTTATAGCCTCCAAATGCAATCTGGTGGAGTAATGGTCGTGATGTTGCTAGTAGAACAGTGTTTTTTATCTTATGTTCTCCGTCGGATAATGAGTGTTCAGCGATTGCAGACTTTTCGGTTTATCCTAAACGACAACTTCATTTTTTGTGTTCTGTTATTCGTGTACCAATGCTTTTCTTTGTGTGTCCTATGTATACTTTTTCACAAGTGAATGGAATTCTGTAGACTTCTGCGGTCTTTCACTGTTTAAAGATATTCCCTTATTTTCTTTGTTGGCTTGTAGACATAGCTGATTTTCTTTATTTTAGGATTTTCCCAATTTAGTCAGTGACACCTTCTACCTTCTACGTAGGGTAGATAGAGAGTTCCTTGGTTTTGTTCTCCCTTGGACGCGTAGCACGGATTTTGTCTGTACTGCATCCATTTGCTTGTAACAGTGTTGTCAGGTTTTTCATTTTATCGTTGATGTATCTTGGTTCACATATCCTTAACGCTTTGTTTACTAAGGTGTTATAACCGTGCTAATCACATAGTTTAAGAAATTCTGGAGGTATTTTCTCCCGTTGCTCTAGATTACCAATATATCGTCTACATACCTCAGCTAATGATTGTTTTCCATGTAAAAATTGGCCACAACTGGATTTGTTCATAAAATGTTTGATTTCACTGAAAATATGATGTTGTGAGAGAGTGTCGGAAAAGGTTGATGAGACCTGGAAAAAATCCACATTTGTGAAAAAGGATAAGATGTCAAAGCTGACTAGGATGTCGTTAGGCTTTAAGGTGATGCTCTTTAAGAATTCGATGAAGTGCGTAGAGTTTCGAACGTAGGTTTATGTCTTGCCCACATATGTTTACAGAATTTCCGCCAGATGTTTGTCCTGGTTGTAGTTGGTGATTCTATGGCACTTAATATTGGTACATTATCTTTGTGAATTTTTGGTAATCCATATAGTCTTGTTGGTAAAGCTTCAGTAGTGCAGATGTTCTTCTTTGTCTCTGGTGGTAGAGACGACTGTTTTACTAATTTGGTGATTTTTCTTAAAATCTTCTCTGTTAGATCTTCCGATAATTTCCTATATGTGTCTTGATTGACCAAATCATTCAGCTTACTCCTGTAGTCCGATGTGTTCATAACGAATGTTGCATTTCATTTGTCAACGGGTAGAATTAAGATGTGTTCATCCCTCATTGAGATTTCTAATAGCTGCCTTCTCGCCTCTTAAAATAAGCGGACTATTATTTACTTTCAGCAAGGATACCGCAATTAAATTAAACTGCATTGACTTTGTCAGGAAAAATCAGCTTTATCAGGAAGAATATGCTAGATAAATCGCCCCGTTTTTGTTATTGTTATTTCATTTATATACTTGCTGAAGTGACAAACAGTCACTATCATCTATGATAGATACTTAATGATGGCATCCCTAATATTTATTACATAAAAAACGAATAATAGAGCATGTCTCCATCATGATGTAACGGTCTAGTCTAGTGCAGCGTTTCTTAATCTTTTTGATAAGTGGAACTCTTTTTAATGTCCACATTTGCGATGGAACCCTTGGTTTCTTTCAAACATTTTATAAATTTATTTATTTATTTGCAAAAAAATTACAATTGTTTTAATTTATATCCAGTTTAACAAGTGGAGACGAGGGTTAGTTGTTATTCAATTTTTTAATTTTTGTAGAAGCGTTAATTTTTATTGCTTTTTTTGAACTTTTTTCCTTGAATGGTATAAAAAAGACATAAGTTTTGTAGAACCCTTGATTAATCTTCACGGAACCGTAGAGTTCCGCGGAATACAGATTAAGATACGCTGCTATAGTGAAATTTCCATTGAAGGTTGGGAAGTGTCACATTACACACCTCTACTTCCTGTCCTCACTTCCCGCCCTCACTTCCCGCCCTCACTTCCCGCCCTCATGTCATCTCTTCTAGATGAATATTTTTTATATTTAAAAAAAAATAACACATTTTTTTAACAAATTTTATAATACCTATTTAATGGCAAACAATAAAAAACAACAATGAACTAAAATACAACAAACTACTTATTGATATTTATTATTCGCGAATTTAATATCCGGCTTTATCCGACATTTATTTATATTGGTGACAGTTGTTTACCCCGTAATCACAGTAACAATATATTTACTTGATTATTCTGAGAAAACCGCGCTCTTGGTAATTTGTCATTAAATGTAATATTTTAGGTATGTTCAGAACGAAACAGAGATTTATTAACTTTGATCGAAATATAATGGTTGTAAATAAAATAGTATACAAACCTCGGTAGGAAGTTTCATTCCTGTCTCGAGATCATAGCTAACCTCGACGCTTCACGTCTCGGTGATCTAACTAATCTCACGACAGGAATGAAACTCTTCCCACCTCGGTGTGTAATATACTATTACACTTATAATTGAATACTAAAATAATAGACAGTAATTTAATGTGTGAAGAATGCTTTCATATGTCATTGCGCCAAAGTTTGGAGAAATTTTTGGAGGATACTGGACAAGGGTTTTTTTTTTCAGTGGTGACATATATTGCAAATGCATATATCGCACCTCTGTCAGGATTCTTCACACATTATTGACATTAAATTGCTGTCTTATTATTTCGGATCTAAACTATAACCAAATATTTTTTTTGTAGTACCCCTAATAAGCAACCCTAGGAGTCAGTTTTTAAAAAAGATAGAGAGGAACGTTGTAGTCGAGAACATTTTTAATACAGGAGATCAGGGAAACCATCTGGTCGAAACTCCGATGTGGTTTAACAGTTTCACTTCTAGTTTACATAGGAAAAAAGAAAGTAGGACAAAGACTGAAGATTTTTCTTTGCCTAACCTACCTGGAGGTATGTTCCGTTTTTATTGTATTTACTATTATTCCATTGTATTTCACAATATTAGTGTGTGACATAATTTTTGTTTCACTGATAGTTATTTTTAACAAAACAAACTATTTTCTCACTGAATTTAACATAATATAATAGGTAGATTAAAAGGCACCAAAAGTGGTTAATGGCTGCGTTCACAAAGGGGGGCGCATGGGGGCCATTACAGTTTAAAACCCGAAATCATAATAAAAACTTAAATAATTGAAAATGTCAAAACTAGTGAAAGGAAAGAAATCTACTTTGTCACCGCGGTTTTGCGCATGGCTGGCACATTCCATTTATTACAGTAATACCTTGTTGTCAAATTTATTTTTAGACCATTATATAAAGGAAATCATTTTACTATAAAATATTTATAAAATACCTAATAAGGCTTTTAGATTATTATCTAGGTATCTCTAATGTGGTTATTGCGTCTTTTTTATGATGCATGATTCAAAAAAATAATATTTTCAAATAACACTCGCTCTTTCAAATTTTATCTACTAAATTTTGAGTTTCCATACTCAGGTAAAACTATTCAAACAAACCGATTGAAAATACATTTTTATTATTTTATCATTTATCATTATTCGGTTTCTCTCATGGTTTTTCCAAATCAAGACGTTTTCGTGGAAACTAAAAATGTAATCGATAAAATTTGAAAGACTCGTATTACCTTTGATGAAACAATTTAGTAACTATACACCTAAATTTTTTAGCTACAAATGGCAATAGTATGGGTAGACCGAAAAAAAGAACATCCCCTGAAAAATCTATACCACTTTCCAATGAAATAACACCGGTAAGAGCAATTTTATCTAGGTAATTACTTTTATTTTCTTTTATATTATTTTTCACACGATTTTTAATATAGTAATATATATAGTGCTCTTCTAAGCCAAAAAGTGGTATCTCAAAAAAACTTTTATTTTTTCAATGCATCAAATAGTTTAAATATTCTGAATCAGATAACATAAAGAAATGCCCATTCAAAATACAAAGAAAAATTTACATATATCAACTTCACTTATATTTAGTAAAAGGTTTAGGTCTATACCATTATAACGAAGCTAAATAACCGAATATCCTTATAGGCCACAAGAACTTGAACAAGAAATAATTTCAAGCAATCCAGCGGTGTCTAAATGTATTTTTTTGTACTCAAGGGAACGCGAAAATAATGTATTTTTTTACAAAATTCACTTGAACTGAGATACCGTTTTTTGGCTTAGGAAGGCAGTATTTAAAAAATATATTTAGTATTTCACTAAAGTAGTCTGAATAACAGAGGAGTGCAGTAAAAGTCACATTTCATAGGCGTACTTTGCAAAATAGGTTTCTATATAAAAAATAAGGTCACGACATATAAAATGGTATATACGCACTACGTAGATTGTTGAACGAAAAAAAGTTATATTATTAAGGAAAAATTAAAATAAACCTTATGCTTCTAACAAAATTGACACTTTAACATTGGACGAATTAAATTTAACCAATGAATAACAAGGAGGATTATATGGGATTAAATGTAACACTTCATTCAGTACCTAAAATAAAGATTAAACAAATATTGAAAGTTCAAGAACTATCTTTAAAAGTCACTGTCTTCACTATATAACTACTGGTACTATTATCAGTGCCTCTTCTGAGGTTTTTATTATTATAGGGTCTATTAAATTTTCCATTGCTATATCCATTTTCCAAAATGAATTTTTCACATTTTTAACATGATCAATGCATTTTCTTTAATGTTCTCCATTTACATCTGAAACTGCTTTCAAAAACAAATTTTGCACATCCAGGTTATTTAATTGTTGTATTGTTTCGAGAAACATAACCTTTTAATTGTGACCATCAATTCAATGGGATTTAACTCTGCATGGTAAGGAAGCAATCTGAAACTTTCAATTCCTTTTTCTCGGGCCATCTCTTCTCTAATATTATTTTTTGAATTTGTTTTTATGTTGCCTTGCTATTAGGAGTAATTCTTCGTTCAAGGATTTATGAGGACTGATAGTATTTTTAGAATAAAACCATTTTGAAATATCTTCTTTTGTACATCTCCTTTAATCTGTAATCGACTGTGATAGGATGCATTTTCCAAAATTATAAAGTTCTGAAACCAATTTTCAAACATTGGGTCATCCACTTCTGCATGGTAGTCTTTTCTTTTCTTTGACTCGAACATTAATAAACCATCTGGCAAAATCAATCGGTGTTTTCATTGTAGGTTATTATTAAACGAATTCTTTTTCATTACCCGAATTAGCAAGCTTCGAAACTTTTGCCAAATTCACATTTTCATTCTAACTTGTAGAGAAAAAAATCTCTATTACATGTTTCAAACCTCATAAATCCAGAATCCAGAATCAAAAACCAAGAATAATATTTTTCTGGATTTATGAGGTTTGAAACATGTAAAAGAGGTTTTTTTCCCTACAAAGTTGGCATGTGAAGAAAAATGGTGTTACGAGGTTTGCTAATTAGGGTAACGTTTTCCTGTTGGATTTTTTGATCCACAAGAAACCCCTTCCATAAAGGCATGTTTTTTAGTTTTGATGGAGGTATGTTGCCCCATTTTTGTTGCTATATGTCCAGCATTAACCCATGTTTCATCTAAATAAATTACCTGTCTATGCTGATTCCTTGCGTCCGTTATTTTCCTTAAATAATCATGTCTCCAAGCAATTATTTCATCTTTCTCTGTTAAAAAGCTGTTTCTGTCACGTTTTTTGTAACGAAAATTTAATTCATGTAATATTATTTTGCAGATGAAAATATGATATATTTGGAAGAGTGCTATTTTATATTTCTAAGTGTAATTTTTTAAGTGTAAGAATTTCATTTCGAAAGAAAAAAGAATGTACCATTTGCTTGCCTTATTACATTCTTTACCTAAGTTTCAATAAAGGTCTTGTTTCTTCTTGGGAGCTTTTTCGAATCTGAGACTTCTCCAATAACTGTATCTTTAATAATGTTTATACACTGTCCGCTAAGATACTCCAGTATAGGTCTCACATTTAGTGGCTATTTCGTCTACAAAAAGTGAAACAAAGATTATTAACTACGATTTATTTTTCTTCTAAAGATAATACTTTTTGTCCACTAGGTCGTTTACGCGTACTTGTGCTTGAAATATTTTCTAATGCAACCGCCATTCTTATATAACTGTAAAATAAATAAATAAAGTCTGACTTATCTGTCAAAAGAAAAGGTTTATTACAGCAAAAACTATGGAAGCATGATTAAATCTAAACGAAAGCTTTTATTAGGCCGATCAAATGTATTAAAATGTTCATTTTAACTACAAATAAGCATTGAAGGATGAAGTACAAATAAAATGTCAACCTCTTGAACGTGTACTACTTTCTGCAAATTAAATTACTGCACTCCTTTCTTCTCTAGACTATAATATATAATGTCGCATAAAATATTTACTATTTTTGATTTGGCATAATATTTAGTTGAACTCTTTTGAATTATTAGTTTTGAGGAACAATAAACGAACCGGTTTTAATTTATTTTATCTCTGCATGTCTTTGTTTATTTTCTTAAATGCACTTAAAAAATTTATGTTTTACCTGCATTTAAAATTAAAGTAGTAATTTTTTCAGAGACTACATTCGTCATCATCTCAAAAATCATCACCTTCGAAACTTTAGCATCCTTCAGTTTCTTCTACAGGATAACAAAAATAACAACAAACCAAAATTAATAGCAACCAAAGAGTTATCCACAAAAAATAATGTTTCTAAAGTATGACAAACAAAGACAATGATACGAGTCATGTCGGTGATAACTACAAGGGTTCTAAATTAAATTCAAATTTAGACTTAAAAAGAAGAAGAAGAATTGTATGCTTAGACATGTGTGAATTTTTTTAATGTCTACTTTAGAAACATTTTTTGTGGATCATTAAAAATTTAAGTCAATATGCAATGCAGACATAGCTTTCCTTTCTTCATTGATACATATAAAGGTACCATTTTTATAAATATGTTACCCGTATTAGAAGGGAAAGGTTTATGTTCGTATACTGTTTTAACACATGCTACAGTGAGAACAAAATTCTGTCGCTCCTTATTACTAAAAATTTGAAAATGGCTTAATACATTATTTCTGGACCTTAGAGCCAAAGAGTATTAATTCCATTTTACAAAATTTTACAGAAGAGTTGAAACTTTTGACGCCTGTATTTTTAATTGGACTTAATATTGGTTTTAAAAATATATCTGGAAAAATAAATATGATAGGACTTAATACTTAGCACCGATGAAAGAAGCAGGAAAAATTATGTAGGAGTAACCAAAAACTTAAAAATAAAGAAAAGGTGGACTTAATACTGTTTGGTTCTAAGGTCCAGATTAGTATCTTTTAAACAATGACTCCTTTCATATCCTTGTTAGTGAGTTAACTTCTAAGGAATTCACCTAGTTTACAAATACTCAAAGTTACCTACTGGAAACTTTAATCTTATGAGGAGCGACGGACATTTAATCTGTATATACCTTATAAAGAGTACCTATAAGTACTGATTCTTTTTTAGTTTAGAACGAAGTGTAAAAGAAAAAGAAACACCCTAGATATAAGTCTGCCCTTTCCCTTTCATTTCAAAGATTATGGGTAAACGTATTTATTATATATGACAGCATGGCTGTTACCTACGCGAGGGCTATTCCCTTTTATATTGTATAATTTTAATTATTGTAATGGGTTTTTATTATTGTTACTAGTAATGAATAAACTGTATATTTTTAATAAAACTCGTTATTTTATTTGGAGTACCAAAATCGAAAAACGGATTGCCTTATAAAGTATAGCAAACCCCTCAGAATTTGAAAAAAGTTAAAAAAATTTGATTTACAGGAATTTGATAGTTGACGCCAATAGACTTCCTGCCATATTTGAAAAGGAAAAATTGCTGTGACTTCGGTAAAAGTATTGTTAAATTTTTTTTATAAATCAGGAGCGTATCCAAAAGGGCGGGAGCGGCCCCCTTCGAATCCTTAAAATGTTAAAGTATTTTTTTATGATCCTCTAAAATACTTTGTTATTTAAGTTATTGGCAAATATAATAAAATATGTCGAAATAGGAAACTCCCTCTCCCTTTCTATAACTACGCCACTGAATAAAGAGCAACAAAGATCTATTAAACATTGTTTTTTTTTTTTAAACAGGAGCTCAATCAAAGGGTTAAAACACACAAAAAACACGGGGAGGAAGTTACGTTTAAAAAAATTATGAGCCTATGAAAACGGCGGTATTATAATGTAATCAATTTTAAATGTGGCAGAAACCATGCTCCCTTCGCATTTTATATGAGAATTGGGACGCCAAAAGACATTCCATCGTTTATTAGCGATATTACTTTGAACGCCGGACGGCGTCCTGCAACATTTGGCACTTCAGCGAAAACGCCCATCGGCGTCACTGTCCATTAACGTGTTAATATTAAACAACGACGATAACCTGTTAAACTAATCCATTCATTCATAATTAAGCCCATATTTATTGCAAGCATTCAGATTGTGTTTTATATCAGCAGGGCCGCCGAGAGCCAGGGCGGGCCCCAGGACAATTCTCTAGATCGGGCACCGTGACAAAAAAAAGCTGTTCAAACTTTTCCTCGTCTGCAAAAACTTTTCCTCCTCTGCTTGAATTGCTTAAAAAAAAAAAAAACAAAATAAAAGGTCAAGCAAAAACTTTTCCACCTCCACTTGAATTCAGTTTTCTAATAAAAAACTCCCCAACCTAAAACTTCCCCCTCTCGCCTTGTGTCGAATTTCTCATACAAAACAAAAAAATTCAGTTGACGGGCCCCCCCTTATACCGCTGCCGGACCCCGGGAATTAGTCCCGGCTACCTCCTCCCCTCTAGTCGGCCCTGTATATCAGCCAAGCAGAACAGAACATCACTTGACAACTCGTAAATTGATCCTGAGAAAATGGCGGCGTAATCGACACAGTTCTAATGCGCGGACCTTGGAAAAAAATTTAATGCGCAATTTGAAACTGAACGTATGTGTTAAATTTGTCAAAACTTTTATTAGGAAAATAAATTAAAAAATTAAATTATCGAATTTTACTTTCGTACAGATGTAAATAGCGAGTGGCAGATTTCAATAAAATCCAGTTGTTTGTTTGAAGACACGCTTACTGCTGCATGATATCGAAATATGAGGTCTTGGCCCAATCATAAATCAAAATCAACTATATGATGAGGAATAATTAAGAAATTGATATTTGCAATAAGATGGTGCAACAGCACATACCATCAGAGAAACACGTCTATTCCCCAAGATATTTTTTGATGATAGATTAATAAGCATGAACATTCAAATCCCCTGTCCAACTAAGTCTTGCGATTTAAGCATATGCTTGCGATTTTTTCGTGAGTGAATCCTATTGTTAGTTTTCCTAGGGTTCCCAGCCTTATTTGTGTTTGGAAACTAGTAGATTACCGATCCACTTTTGTGATTGAATTCAGTATATTATAGTCCTCTCCGCGCGTAAATTAGTAATAGATCCGAGTACGCACTGCTATAAATAAATAAAAACAAACATGAATAATGTGATATTCTTGTTTAGTTTGTTACTACATAATGTAGTTCATTAGTGATTTAGAAACAAATTACATTCTTTTTATTGAACAAAAATCACTCATACTATCCAAATATTTATGTCTATATCTTTTCGTTTCGAGTACGAAGACTAACTTTTTTGTTTTTGGTTCTGGAATATTTTCTTAACAATTTTAAAACCTTTCTCTGGGAAACGCTATCATCAGCATATTTTTGAGATTCATTTTGTTTAGACCTAAAATTAATTAAGTACATATTATGAAAATTTAAACAATACAAAAAATTTATTGATTAAATTAAAAAAGTGGCATTACCTTAAACATAAACCAAAAATAGAAATCAAGATTATCTTTTATTTCTTGGTGATCCTGTTGGTAGTGAAATATAACTTCTTGATGGTTCAGAAGGTGGAAAAAATTATAGGATTTAATTAGATAGGTACTATTAATGTAAAAACCAACTTTTTTAAAAGAAAGTAAAGTTTCTCTGCTTCACTTGCAATTTTAGTAGCAGATTAATATGGTGAGGAAGTAGTGACAGGATTGATTATTATACTTAGCTATACTTACTCATTATCGGTTAGTAATCTGTGGATTTAAACCCTTCAAAACAGTCGCGAAGCGACATTAGATTACTTACCTTAGCCAGAAAGAAACTTATCCGACTAGCAAATGTCACTTACTATAATTATGCTTCGTTAGTGTTTTTTGTAACACTTCCTGCTTTTTTCCGGAATCATACTTTAGGACTAGGTAGCTTATTTTGCAGCTATTCGTAATTCTAGTGGAGTACATTAAAGTTAACTGTCTGACTTATTTGTAAGTATAAAAACAATTGTATTATTAAAAGTGCCGTTCAATATATATTTAGCATAATAATCATCGAGATAGAATAAAGTAGAGACGACATAAACACTATTTTGCGATAAGACATATGGACGCACTTAGCGATGCTAAGACTGACAGAAAAATGTAATTAAAATGGCGACGTAGACAGAGTAGTACTTTGATTTGAAGTCAGTAATTTTATATTTGAAGATTGTCGGAATGAAAATATTTAACTAATGTTAAGAAAATATATTAAATGTATTGTTAAAAAAAATGCTTTTAACTCCAACACATATTTTTTAATTAGAATAAATGATTTTATCTGGGTAAATTAAGTTATTTTTTTAAATGTTTTATTGTCCTTTAAATAAAACCATCTTATTACTATGGTGTTTTATGCTAATTTTCTTACTTGCTTTATTTTTTGATAAAAAGCACATTCTTACATTTAGGTACCTGCTCGCAACACATTTCATTAATAACGTTCTGTAATTATCAAAAACTGACTGATCGAATCCATGTTGTATAAGACTTGAAAATATGTTTGAAGAAATATATTCTCTTAATACTAACTGAATTAAGATATCAAGTGAAATCTGTTTTTAGAAACTAATTTGATTTTTAAAAGCTTTTCACATGTCATACAGATAGCGGTAACATCTTCTGATGGGTAATGCAATTTGTTTTATTTATTATTTTTTGTATCACTTATTAGTGCTTGAGAACATTGTCCACAATATATTTTTTTATTTATAGAATGAACAACGTAACCCGCGATGTAAGTAATTACATATTTCGAAAATGGAGTAATACAGGGATCTGGTACATAACCGTGATCTAATTCGATGGCTTTAATAATTTCCAAGGGATCATTTTCATAATCTTGTGCTTGGTTGGAAAATGAATATCCAATTGATGTTATATTAAGTTGTCTGGCTACATCGCACTTTAAAATACTAATCTCTTCTAAGGGTATACAGTTCCCAAGAAAACTTTCACAAAACTCTACATGGACGAGTAGCTTTTTATAGGCTGACACAAATTGTCTTGTTGTGGGGTTGTTATTATAACCCCCATGTGAACGGATCGAACAAAATAATTCCAAGTTATCCTGGGAGATTTTATATATTGGTAAGAAAGATAATAAATTGTTTTGCACAACTAAAGAATTAAATAAACATTTAGTACTGTGGATACAGACTTTTAATCCTAACAATCCCGTATGCCTCCCACTGTCTAATAATAATTGCCCATTGCAATGTGTTTTTAAGCCGTCAATATATTTATCGGCCATATCCAAAAATGTTGAAATATTGTCAAAATTTTTTGTAGATAGAGGTTTTTGTAACCAAATTGAAGGAGATTTCTCGAATTCAGAACATCAAATAAATTATTAATTAATTTTACAAACTCAATAGTTGCATTAACATTCTCAAATTCTTTTATATCTAAAACCTCTTTACAGAAAAGTAAGGAAGTTGCTACGCTTTCACTAAACAACTGTGTTGCGAGCTTTACCTACCTTCATTTTTTTTTTGTTTAAATACTATACGTTGTTTTCTCAATTTGTTTGCAAGATGAAAGTTTTCTTCTTCTTGTAGCTCTTGCAATTTCATAAAATATCTCCACTCTATCAGTTCATTATCACTGTTCACAAATGAGTACTTATCTCCTAAGATATTCCTAACTAGTTTGACCATATGTGAAGGATCCAAAAATACCGCCACTTCTTGTTGAGAACTCGGATTAGTAAATGTTGTTTTTAAAATGCGATGATCTAATTTGCAATTTAATCTATTGGCCACGGTTAAATTAGCTGGGCAGCCATCGAATGTCAGACTTATTATATAAACGCCAGCGTCATTACATTTTTTTAAACATTCTAATACTAAGCAAGCCTTTTGCTCACTAGATACTCCAGCTATTAAAAAATAAGCTAAAGGTATTTTCCAGTTCCCATTTACACAATTTAGTAAAAAAACAAGAGCCTCTTTAGTAGGGATTCTTCCTTTACCATAACTCTTTCACTCACTTGATTGAAATAACGATAAAACCGGTATTAAAGGACGTTTTTTATTTGACGATAAGCACTTAAGATGGCTGAATGCCGAAAGCGCTTTGCTATTTCAATAAAAAAATTGCACGAAATATTAGTTTTCTCTGCTGATCTAAACTGCGTGCACATATGAGTTAACCTCTTTTGGTTCCTTTTAATCGTTTCATGTGACCGACCACATCTGATAAGAGAACTAAACTTTTACCTAATTCAAACTTGGATTCAGCAAAGACGGAATCGCCTAATCTTTTAGACGAACACAATGTACAGAATTTTTATCGAAACAGTTTTCTTCAAAATGTCTGGAGCATAGTACACTATATTTTGAAGGTTTCCAGTCACCTCTATTTACAAATCCAATCCATGAATCCCGCGTTACAGAGTTCTTTGGAAATCTGTATAACACAAGTATTTGTATATTTAGCGTTGTGAAAATTTAAAACTTATTCCTTAACTGTACCTACAGGAATAGCATAAAATATGATCTTTATAGCTCTAATGATTTATATGGGCATCACTACTGATGTAAAATTATCATTACATTTTTATCAGAATCTAAAGTAGCAAGATTGATATACTTATATTACTAGAAAAGTAAATTATGATTAATTAACACTCCAACATTGAAACAAAAATTAAGAATACGGTCCTTATAATTGTTTAGAATATGCTTTAGACTTACTTATGAAATGTAATTCCTGAAGATTTTTTCTTATTAACGCTATAACTGCTGCAACAGCTTCTTATAGCACATGATACCATTATTTCAAATTAAAACAAACAACCTTTTATAAGATTTAAATGTAGCTATTTAAATAAAATTGCGTTTATTCTCACCAAAACAGTAATCAAACTGACTAGGTCACGTTAGTTTGACACATGACGTAAAAATGTAATGCTTATTGAAAAGTGCGGATACTTTTAGTAACGTCATAGCGTCTCCCCTTTATTCTATCTCGATGATAATAATAATAATAATTATCTGTCAGATTCAACCAACTTATTATTTTGCCTAGCAACGGTGTCACGGGAATCTTTGTTAAAAAACATATCAAATCATGATAGAAATCAATACCAATATTATTATTTGGAACTAATATTAAATAATTAATAGCAGATTGTGAGTAATATTACATACCGAGCGAGGAAGTACTCTATTACAACCGAGCGTCTAGAAAGATACCGAGGTGAGCAACAGACTCAGGCTAGAATAAGTTTTGCCGAGGTATGTATACGATTTTACTCACAATCTGCTATAAATAATTAATTTTATAAAAGTTTTTAAAAATAATAATTTGTTATTTTTTCTTTAATGTAGTTTTTTTTTATTTTATCTTTATCGGTTGTAAGCAGGTAGGGTTAGGTTTGGCCCAGAACACTGCGGCCTCTTGAGTCTATTGTATTCCCCTGCTTTCCCCGTATTCAGGTACTATCTTTGGAATAGTTCTGTGTCTTTGGTTAGTTTTAATAGGTTCCCTACCAAGTGTTCCTGGGGCGTTCTTTCCGGTTCTAGGCCGAAAAGGATGAAACATCGCCCAAAAAGAGCATCGAATTCGAAGATCACATGGTATGAGGTTTATTCTTCTTCCATGCAAAGTCTACACGTAGTGGGATAATTGTGCATGAGCTTACTGATTCTGTGCCCTCTTATCTGTTGCCAGTGAATTTGGTGTTTTGTGGTCATCCACCTGTTCACTGCCTGTCGAGCAGAGGTTTTGCTTATCCCAAATACAGGTTCCTTGGATACCTTTGTGACTTGGTACCTACACTAGTTTTACGAAATATAAGGTTAATTAAAGTGTCTTTTACGTAACTTAAAAAAAATTTAATTTTTTGATCGTTTTATTAACAATCAAAATGTGCATAATTAACACTCTTGAAGCATGTCATGTACACAAGTAATGCATTTATTTCGGGTTCTTACTATATTTTTTAAAAAGTAATGTAATGTAAATCAAGAAGTTACAAAATTTTCTAAAGAACCGCTGATTTTTTTGACCGTCTTGGTAAAAAGATTAGATTTTTAGGCGTAGTTGCGTACAATGATTACAACTTGCCAACATTGTAATCGCTCCACTTAACGCGCGATAACTGAATAACACTCGATCAGCTAAGAGGTTGTTATAACCTCGCGACCTTTTCTTGAAAAATTAATTCCTCCACTCTATTTGAAAAACTAGAACTGCCGGTTCTGTTTGAATCAAAACAAACCCTTAAAAATTTGTGACTACCTCATACTAATGAGGAAGTCAGACATTTCTATAGCCCATCATTCATATATTTGCGACGTTGTCAGATGGATATTACTTGAAATTCTAACGTATCCGTATATATAAGCTAACATGTGTTGTGTGCAGTCTCTTACAAAAATAAAAAATTTAACATTGAAAATCTCGAACTTTTGGTATTTACCATTAGACCAAATTTTTATGTACGACTGTCGCGAGTGAACTATCTCAACAAAGATACCTGTGAAATCGTTGCTAGGCAAAATAACAAGTTGGTTAAATTTGAGAGTTAGGTAATTATTTTGATAATTACACATTGAAGGTCACTTTTAATAATAAATGTATTTTTATACTTACAAACATGTCCAACAGTTAACAATAATGTACCCCAACAGAATTGCGAATAGCTGCACAATGGGTGCTATGATTGAACGTTTACGTTATCCGTAACGTACATGTTAGGCCGAGTTTTAACAGTAACGAGACAAGTTCATATGATGGAAAACTTTTTCTAACACATTACTGTTATTTTCCGCTTATGTTCTAATTTAACAGTTGATGATCAGTCAGGACACTGATAAACGTACTTTTATTAAAAGGACGTTATTCTATATCTGCTTAACAATGTCAACCTATCATTCAGAGAATCTTGAGGAAATTCGTCCAGTACAAGAGATTCAACTCGATGACGTATATCTCTCCCTTCATGATGACACAAAGCAACTAAGATGTAAATTTCCCAAATGCACATCAAAATCAATGATAAGATGTCACAAGTGCAACATTCAATTGTTTATTCAAAGATAAGAATTGTTTTACACTCAAAATAATATTTCTGTCTTTATTTTGTTAATTATTATTTTCATTTGTTCACGTTCACGTACTACTCATTTGTGTTTGATTGCTAATAAATATGAAAATCTAATCTTTGAAATAAATTATTTTACAAAACTTCAGGCATGATGTGCAGATTTCTCTATCTTCAAAAGCGAACGAACTATTAGAAAAAAAAACAATTGTAATATTTTTTAACGGTCCAAAAAATGTTTTGAAACGGAAATGAAAAGTTTTATATTACTTTTTAAAGTCAAAGCTTAAAGGCACCTATGGGAAAAAATAATTAAAAAACATTTAAGTACAAAGATCTATTTTAATATTTCTTTATTATAAGTATTGAAATAAAAATTTTATTATAAAATAATAGCTCAAACATTTTTTTTACATTTATTTTATTTAAGCTCAAACAATATGTAGTTTATTAAAAAAAATGCATTTTTTTTTCTTAATATTTAGTTCTTTAAAATAACAAAATATTTGTTTCTGAAAAATTATACTTAATGTTATTTTATTAAAAGAATGGTTACGAAATATTTGAATAATCAGTCACTAAATTCCCTAATCAGTTACTGTTAAATTCAGACTTTCAGAAGATATACAGCATCTTTGAGAATACGATCAAAAAAGAAAAAAATATTTGTATGCAGAATGATGTATTTCACTAAACAAATAGTCCACTCTAACAAATTTTTTACTTAATTCAGATTAAACGGTAAATGTTTCTCGGAAAATTGAAAATTATCTTCCGATAATGAGATTTTGAATTTACAATAAGTCTATATTAATATTTACAAACAACATTCTGTATACTATTTATGACAACAAAATTTCCTATTACTAATTTGCCTAAGAGAAGATACGACGTTGAATTATTAGAATGGCTTTTTATAAAAAAAAAATTAATTCAAATTGATCTCAAAAATAATTCATAACTTAAAAAAAATAAGACTGGTTTTTTAAACATTAAAATACCATTATAATCACAGATTACTTAAATATTACGGAGATAAAATGAAAAGACTATATTTCTTTGAACAATTCTTCAAGAGCTGCCGTAGAATTTCGAGGACATGGAAATTGAAGAGTTTCGCCTCCAGTTAAGGGAAATTTTACATGAAAACTGATCACATCTCCTGCAATTAAAAAAAAATTATTTAGCATAAAATGTACCTTCCCTTCCCCTTTTCAACTCCTTTAACAGGAATATGATAACACATTTCTTTATTTTAAAAGTACCAATTTCGTATGTACATATTAGGGTGATTTTTTTTTTCGACTATTTTTTTTATTTTCGCTCCCGTCCTGAAATTTTGTTGAAAATGCCCCAAAAAAAATCCCTGAAAGTATGAGCCCTTAATATTAATATTAAATCCTCGACCAAGATTTTCCATTTCAAATACACGTAAAATTAGGGTTTTTTTCTTCAGATGTATATAGCTTAGCGGCATTTCATGGTATTATTTCGACCATAGACATGTATTTCTCCAAATTGAACGCTCTACAAAAGTATCCATTGTCGTAACTCACATCGGCGAGGTAGTACGGGTCACTAAATCGAATTTTTTCATGAAATTCAAGTTATTTCGACCCTATGTCATAATTGAGAAGAGTTACAGAAAAAATGACAAAGTTGTAGGTTATTTAATTTACAACAAAAAATGTCCTGAGAACCAAATCGCTAAGATCAATATTTGTCGAGATTCGAGATATTAAGCCTTGAATTAATTTTACTGTAAAATTTTTGCCGATTATTGACTGAAACTTTTTGAAATCATGTTTTTTTTGTATTATCACACTTTTTGTTCAATATATTTTTTTAAAGTTTAAATACTAGAATATGATTAATATCTTACATCGTTAAAACTCATATTTAAAGAATCATATTTAAAGAATTTATTAAATTATAATAGTTTGAATCATATTAACAACAATAAATTATTTATGAAAATAGAAACAATACCAATAAATTATTATTGAAAGTAGAAAAATTAATCGTTACATTGATTCATTGTTAATATATTGTGATTTTTTACACGATGTGTATTGAGAGCGATGATGCTGAACAGTTTGAAAAATTTTTGGTCTCTCAACTTCGTTATGAGTTAATGCTTCATTAACACTTTCGGCTAGTGCTACTCCCCTTTCTGCAGTATCGTTAACCACCTTTAACATTTTAAATGTATCATAATACAAAAAAAACCAAGATTTCAAAAAGTTTCAGTCAATAATCGGCATAAATTTTATGGTAAAATTAATTCAAAGCTTAACATCTCGAATCTCGACAAATATTGATCTTAGCGAATTGGTTTTAGGACATTTTTTGTAGTAAATTAAATATCCTACAACTTTGTTGTTTACATTTTTTCTGTAACCCTTCTCAATTATAAAATAGGGTCGAAATACCGTGAATTTCATGAAAAAAATCGATTTAGTGACCCGTACTACCTCCCGATGTGAGTTACGACATCGCCGCAATAGGCACTTTTGTAGAGCGTTCAATTTGGAGAAATACATGTCTATGGTCGAAATAATACCATGAAATGCCACTAAGCTATAGAAATCTGAAGAAAAAAACCCTAATTTTACGTGTATTTTAAATGGAAAATCTTTGCACGCCTTGGTCGAGGACTTAATATTAATATTAAAGGCTCAAACTTTCAGGGATTTTTTTTAGGGCATTTTCAACAAAAGTTCAGGACGGGAGCGAAAAATAAAAAAATAGTCGAAAAAAAAATCACCCTAGTACATATTAACAGGCGTTTTTTAGTTAGTAACGTTTATTTTTAACTCCTCGTGAAAATAGAGGCGTGTAACGTGTGTATCTGTATGTCTATCTGTGACTTCTACAATTCTTTAATATACAAGTGCTACAACTGGACTAAACTATTTACTGCTTACTCCAATCCAGCCAATTTACAAGACCTAGCAGTGTTTAGCACACAGAGCTAGGACCTAGGACCTATAGAGGTAGCATCAGAGAGAGAGAGAAAGAGAGAGAAGTTATAACACACATAAAACGTAAATGTTTACAATCATCCGAAAACAATGTTGCCAAAGTTAAGTTGTATATATTTAGATTTTTTAGTACTCAAAGTTCTATGTTTTTTTATTTTAAACACATTACTATTTTATGATAAGCGTTTTATAAAATAATTAAGAGTACTTATTGGCCCCGTGCATGACAGCAGCACCAATTAACTTATTAACTAACGGACGATTTTTTCGTATACTGACAATACAATTATTAATAGAATTCGTAATTAAACAATATTTATGTTGGTTTTAATAAAAATATCGATATCGTTAGAAAGCTCCAATGCTACAAGATCATATAAATCCTGAGCCAGCATCAAAAAAATCACCAAAGGATCTTTCTTTAACTCCCTACTATGAAATCTCCCTACATTTCTTTGGAAACATATTTTCAGAGATTATAGGGACATAAAGATAGGAAACGCAACGACCGCATCATCGACGGCGTCATCTATGAGTCTCAGATGTTAACTAAAAGTACACGTCGTTTGTAGAAAGACAGTAGACGTGGACAGCAGTGGACAGTTTGTAAATATAAATGTCAATTAGTTGTATGTATATCGTAAAATCCTGAATTTGAATTTTAAATTTTAAGTTCATGATTGTGTTATCATCTAGATGAACTAAGCGAAATGGTTGTGGGTGTTTTTGTTAAGAACTTACAGCGCCACCTTTCGGCGACAGGCAGAACTGCAAAAGGTGCCATCTTGTGACTGGAAAGAGTGCGTTCCTTGCTTTGTAGGAATGTAAACATTGGTGTTGAATCTCTAGGACAGGGGGCGAATTGAGTTAATTATAACGACTTTTTTGAGCATTGATGATTGATCGATATTGATTTCTTGACTGGTATTGTGTTCTGTCTTGTAACGATTGTAACCATAATTATAATGAGTAACATTGATTGTAAAGAAGTTATTGTGTTTTCGTAATAAAGTTTGTTTTTAACCTGAAAACCTTTTTGCGAAATTAACAGTTTTTGTGTGAATTTTGAGGACAATAATTATATTTTGTATTATTACAATAAGTTGCAGAACGTATTGCATTAGTAACTCATGCCTCATGAATGTGGAGTTTTTAATGAACCAAAGTAAGGTCTAGTCATGTTAAGGGTCGATTCCACCGTTGTGTTAAACGGAGATTAAAATGACGTTTAACCGTTTAACACAACGGTGGAATCGGTCCTAAGTAACACAAATAGTAGCCAACTTTTGTGTCACAAAGTAGGTATTTATTATTTATTGTTTTAGAACAAGAAAATGGCTTCAAAACGTTAGAAAGAACATTTGATATAGGAAGAAAAATATCTGAATTCCCATTATTGAGTTTGCACTCAACATTTTTAAATAAGACACCATTGGCCATTCGTTTGGAAAATAAGAACAAAAATGTTAATGTTACAAATAACAATCAAAAATTAAAAAATATTTGTCATGAATAGATATACAATAATTAATCGATAATAGACTGTAAGTGTAGTATTCTTTTTAAAAAATAATTTAGCGTAATTACATTGTTAAAAATTTATTTACCAGAACGTGAGAGTGCAGACGATATTTATACAACCTTTATCATCAGGTTTTTAAATTTAAATTTATGGTGGTCGTTCTTAAGCATTGGCTTCTTATGAGCGTTTCCTATTTTAATCTCCCTTAACTCTGCATATTTTAAATCTACTATCACTTTACAGTATATTATGTCACTATAATAAAATTAACAATCGCAGTAAACTAGTACATAAACGTCACATCACCTACATTGGCAAATACAAGTGAAAAAGTAAACGTTTTATAAGCGATTAAAATTATTTAAATTAGTGACCCTCAAGATTTTTTGGAAAAATCCGCCAACAGTCGAACGGGCTATTTTTTTTTTTTTTTTTTTTTTTTTTGTTAAACCATTTTAGACCCTCTGAAACACATTTCAAAATACTTTTTTTGTCCTGCAGACGCTTTAAAATATTTTTTTTACCTTAAAACTTTAAAATGTGTCCTCTAATTTCGATGTTGAAAAATTTGAACTACATCATTTTGATTAATTTCTTGTCTAGAAACTGCTAAATAATAATACTAGACCATACGTAAAGGAATAAACCATTCCATATTTTTTCATAAACAGTTTATTTTCTTAATTTACGACCAGGTTAAAGTTTGTCAAAATGATCTAATTTTCATGAACCCGATGACATTGCAGTGTGACATGTATCTAAAAGAAATACAATGTTGCCATATCAATTATTACGTAGCAATGGTCATTTTTACCTATGTCCAGTGTTGTACCAGGCCAACCAATTGACTTCAGTATCAGAAAAACTATATATAAAACTAACGATTTAAAAAATCCCCACATCAAGATCTTCCTCCTCGCCCTCATCGGCAGAGTATTCTTCGACGTCAATATTGATATACAATAAGAATATGAAACAACGACTTCTTGTAGGGTGGCGGCTTCGCCGCCACCATAAAATTTTAACCCATACCTGGCTACGCCGACCGGCATAGACTCCAACGGCCTGGACACAGCTCAAATTGAAAAAAAAAGTACCGACATGCCGACGCACAATCATCATGAAATGAAATAAAAAGACGGATGTCTGTGATTACTACAAATGTTTTCACTTCGGGATCCAAATTCACCTGCTGGCCAGACACTATGTAATTTTTCAGCCAACTTTCATTAACCGAATTATTTCCTGACTTATATGTTTTCTTACTCGATTTGGCAACACAAAATAAGAAAATTTGATCGTTTATAAAAAAATGTCGTATGGTTTATTGCTCTATGAATGGTCTAATATTGATATTTAGCCGTTTTTACAACAAGAAATCAGTGAAAATGGTTTATTTCACATTTGTTTTATGATGGAGACTCGAAAACAAATTTTAAGGTGAAAAATTTTTTTTAGTGTCAGCGGACCCAAAATTGTCATGTATAGTGTGTTTCAAAGTGTCTAGAAACTTTCTATAATATTTCAATAGTTATATCCGCCGTTTTAGTGTCGGCGTATAATAACGATTTTTTTTTATTTTTAAGCCTCCACATAAACTAAAAAATTTAGTAACGCGCGGATTCACCCTAAACTGTATTTTTACCGGTGTGTCTCACATAATTGTCCCTCTGAGTATCTGTAACATTATCCAAAGCTTCTGACCAAGTCTGAAATACATCTTCCAGTGACGAACTTGTTAAAGTTATCGGGACGGTGGTGTAGCGGTCTATCGCGCTTATATTCATTTATAGGCAAGTTTATGAGTCTGAGACTGCTGGGTTTCGAATCCCAGACCGGACCATGTGGATTTTTAATTAAATTGCATGGTTCGGTTTAGGATTTGATGTGTGGCGTATTAATAGAAATTCAATTTCTGTTGATATGACATGCAGATTAAAAAAAATTCGCCATACATTACCGTCTCGATGATGGTGGGTGAGGTTTTCCGGGTTTTCCTCACCTGTAAGTCAAATGGCACCATCAATCATCTTTAAGTCGCCCCGGAGCGCCACGGCAAATATTAATAATAATAATAGCCGTCCCTTCCCCTACACAAGTCGTTCAGTCGACTTCAGGGGTGGAAATTCACTCGTAAGGGGGTGAATTAGGGAGAGTATTATTATTATTATAATATTATTAAAGTTTTTTCGTCATAAAACCGTTTGCACTGTGACTGTGACACGTCATCTCTATTGTATTGTACTAGCAGTGATATGGAGTTCGTTTTCTGTGAAATATTTAATTCCTCTGCAGCCTTTTGATTGTACCTCTTTCCAAGACCCTGGCAAATACATTTGTATCTCTTAAAATAGGAAACTACGTTTGGGATTAAAGTTTTTGATTGATCACTAAATCGTTTCACCATCTTGTTGAATATACTTATAAACTTTTGAAATATCAAAATATACAAATATTTAACAAATTGACAAATTCAAAATTATTTTGATAACTGCCACCTGATATAATAACATAATGTAATTAATCTACGACGTGCCCAAATCTAGTAACTTTTTGTTTCATCCATTCTACATTTAAACAATAAAGAAAGCGAATGGACTAGGGGTATTTGGGTATTTCAGAGGATTTAATCCTGACTACGGAAGAGTATCTTCAAGGTCAAGTTTTCACGTGTATGGAATATACTTTCTGTCTACTTTTCTGATAATAAAACAGTACGTAATTTTCTAAATATGAAACTTAAACATCTGGTATAACATTAAAAAACATCTCGGAGATTCGAACTTATGGGTTAAAGTTTGAATCCCACTATGCGGCATTTTTCTAATTAATTAAACATCTAATCCTAATGCTTAGGTAATGTTAAGGTAGGATTCCTCACCCGTACGACCATTTATTTATTGTTGGGATATAAATTATTAACGGTGCTGTTCCTAAAGTGGCGCTGGGAAACAAAGACTATAATATACACGTTTTATCAGATGGATTTAGACGTCCTCGGTTTAAAAATTATATATCAATTTACTTAAGAAAAAATTAAAAGGTTGCATTAAAATACCTTTTATACAATTATTTGAATTGACATTCGTAATGACGTCACGAAAGCTTTGACACACCCTATGTTCTAAGGACACACCGGTATCAAGATCACAGTTAACTTTGAGAATTACAGGAAAAAACAAACTCAATGTTTGATTGTCAAGTCAATAGAAATTAGCAAATTTTTTGTACATCATCTTTTTTTCGTAAATCATCTTGGGGTCATCTTTTGGAACCTAAAATCCAGTGAAAATCGCAAGGTCATTTCAATCATGAAATTCACGATCACCAGTGCACAAAGTTATGTCTAATGGGTTCTTCAGCAGGATCAGGTTTGTAGACTTTTTAACTCATTCAAAAATATTTTAATTTCTATATGCAAAAGAAATAGTATGAGTATAGAGAGAGCATTACATTTAAAGGAAAATATTGTGAAGACGCCCTCTCCTTAAAAATACAATTTTTTTAAAAACTTATATTTTAGGCTTTAGGAAGGAGAGCATTTTTCAAATATATCACCAGAAATCACATAAATTAACGTTTTTTAAAAAAAATTACATATTGCAGGCTTCAGCTTTGGTTTCTTTGAACACTGAGGACAGCGATTTTCGCCCGAGGTGGTTTGTTAAATATAGAAAATGAGACCTTCTCTATGTCTGTACGTTCTGTTTATGTATTATGAATGTAAACGAAATGTACTAAAATGAACGCAAATAGTTTGCGTTGTTATTATTGTTGGAAGAGGAAGAATAAGAAGAGAGGAACTGGCAATTGCAATCGTCAAAAATTCCAATAGGCCAGTGGTTAAGTTGTTTTTGTGTTGCGATACAGAAGGTGCCTTTAATATCACTGTGCAGCGGAAGCTTTTTGGAAATGAAACCAAATTTAGGAAGTATTTTAGACTTCCTACAGATCTTTTTGAATTCGCGTTGTTTTTTAAAGAGCGACATTTCCAAGAAACCTACAAATAAAGTCATCTGTATGTCTGAATTTGCCACTCATTGTTTTAAAAATAATAACAATATAATTATTTGTATTCACAAACTGTTTCCGCACACGCCGACGATTCCGCTGATATCAAACTCAACAGATATGAACCGTCGTTTCAATTTTTTCCGCCGACGAACAGAATAAAACAACACCGTTGCTACTTCTTCCACCTCTATTTTGATATTGAACGTCTGCGTCGCTGCTTATCGTCTGTTAAAAATCGCAACTAACAAATCGCATGCGTCAGGTCGCGCGCGACGTGTCGCGTGAGTGGGCTTTACCTCTAAGAAATTTTAGGACGTTTTGTTTTTGTTTTTATTATACTGTTCTGGTAAGCTTGTAAAGAAATGCCTCGTTAAATGTAACCTATGACGTACCAGCGTAACCAAACCTTATAAAGAAATGCTCTGGTAATATAAGTATGTTCTGGTAAGCTTATAAAGAAATGCCACTGAAGTTATCCCATTTAAAACTTACATCAATACACCCATTTTTTAAACTACAACGTTTAAATTGTTTTTATTTTTTAAATAAATAAGTAAGTAGTAGCTAATAAATTGCTGCGTTTGAAAATTACCTCGTTTTGCTCTTTTTACTCGAAGCCGTTCTTTTAATACATCTGTGGCTTCTCGATGGGATCTACTCCGTGGTCTTTTAATGAAGAGCTGGTAAGTCGAGTAAGATCTATTTACTCCGAATTAAATTTTAGAGCTTTCGGAGTAAATGTAATTTCTGTGACAATTGACAAAGTAAATGTATTTTTCTGAGATGTGTAGACGTCGTTCGTTGTCTTTTGTGTTGCAGTTTATTCTTTTTCATGTGTTTGGTTATTAAAAAAAATATTTATAAAAAATATCAGACAGAAATGAGAACATGGTTTATTTTCTAGTAAAAGCAAAAAACGAAAAATACCACAACTCAAAAATTAACTTTACTTCGCAATTTGCAACAAAAACCACTTGACGAGAGATCAAATTTGAAAAGTTGGTTATTTTGATGAATACCGAAAACGGGAAACACAAACAAATCCATAGCCGTTCTTTTATTCCACATAAGCTCGATTTGCTCGATGATCAGTGATCACGTGACTAAAAAATCTACTAGCTCTACTCCGCTCCGGGAGGTACTTTTCAAACGTAGCAATAGACCCTTTTTTTTAAGAAATTTTGAGAAATTTTAATTTTAAGGTATTAGTCGAAATTTATATACAGGATGAACAAAAGTAACTTAACATACTAATATTTAAATTCCTGTTAGGTTTACAAAACAGTTTTGAATTAAATCAAGTTAATAAAAGAAGTATACTGGGTTGACCACCATTACTCTAAAATTACACAAGAATATATTTTTAAATAATTTTTCGTACTCTATTAAATTTAAAATAAAAATGTTAAAAATGTGCTAACTTTATTAGCTCGAATACGTCCTTGTTTTATTCTGGAATAATAGTTCGCCTGGTATATTTCTAACTGGCATACTGATAACTTGATTTATTTTATAATTTTTTTATTCAAAACGCTTATTGTAAACACACCTACACCATAAAAGCACGCTCGTCCTCCCACATCCTAATTACCTTAGAAGCCAGCGCTTTTGGTTTAATGTTTCAAAATTTGCCTGTGCCCTTTTTACATTTACACTGTAAGAGCACGTTTCGCTCGTCCCACCCACTTCCTAATCACTACAGAAGCAAACGAGCGAAACGAGTGCGCTCGGCCGACGTTTTGAAATTCCTACATCATAAGAGCACACTACGCTCGTCCCACTCAGCTTCTAACTACTACAGAAGACAAAGTGGTATTCGTAGTAAGACATTCCATGTGCAGCGCATGCCGGTCGGTATACAGCAAGAAGACGAAACACCAGAAAATATCAACTCATACCTGGCTACGCCGACCATTACGGACTCCAACGGCCGGGACAAAGCTTAAATTGAAATGAAAAGTATCACATTATATTATCGTATTATCATCTGCGCATGCGTAAGCATGGAATGTGTTACTACAGAAGACCAGTGGCGGCTCGTGGGGTGGTTCACAGTGACAGAATATAGGTATAAGTACAGATGTATGAAAAAACTTTCAGTGTTTTAGAAAGTTTATAATATGCCTTTCTAAAACACTGACAGTTTTTTACCTATATCTGTACCGGGATCTATATTCTGTTACTGTGAACCCCCAAAATTTTGGTCACAAGCCGCCCCTGCAGAAGACAACGGGTGAAGTCAAAGAGATGTGAAAACGGTGTGTTCGCTTCGCTTGCTCTCTCCTGTACTTGACCGGGCGCGCTTGCTTCGTTCTTTCTTCTGTAATGGTTAGGAAGTAGATGGGACGAGCGTTCCGTGTTCTTATGGCGCATTCGGGCTATTAGAACAATGCGGTATTAACAGTTTAATTTTAAATTTATAGCGTACGAAAAATTATTTAAAAAAATGTATGGCGTAATTTTGGAGTAATGGTCAACCCAGTATATTTCTTATTAACTTGATTAATTTCATAAAATTTTATTCAAAATTGTTTTGCAAACCTATCAGGAATCTAAATATTAGTATGTTACGTTACTTTTTGTACACTCTGTATATAAATTTCAAAATTTCAAATTTCTCTATATCTTGATTAAAAAAAAAAAATGTTTAGATAACATGGCCATAGTATTTACATTTATTACCTACTAAATGCCTATTTATTTACTCCTATAATTTTTAAATGTCTTTAATTATCTCTCTGCGTCAAAATAATCTTTTGAATTTAAAAATGTTTGAACGTCATAATTTAAAAAGAGGGTGTATCGATGTACGTTTTTAATGGGATGATGTTTAAAGTATCCACCGAGGGACGTCACAGTTAACCCAACACAAATTGAACAAATTCAGCTATCCTTTTTGTTGATTAGTCTTTAAATTTGGCTAGCTGGCGTCATTTGTGAACCAAATAAATTCACTTGTTTTAACTTTTGGATAATACAAAGTAATAATAAAATTATGTTTAAAAGTTTTCGAAAAGTACTTTGTTTATTACTTTATAGATAATGTAATATTAATTTTTAATTATTGACTGGAAATAAATTATAGAAGTTCTTTTTAAAGTGTTTGGAAATGTTATGTCAAAAATAAGGTATTTTTTTATATTTCTTTTTCGTTGATTTTAACACTTGACAACACCGCGCATATTTGAATTGACAGAGCATGACATATAATTCTAAATTTCAATGAATAAGTTTATATAAATGATCACTTATAATGATCCTCATAAGCCTTTAATATGTAAAATTAAAAAAAAAAAAATACATAGTTTCCGGTGGTATATTTGAAAAATACTCCCCTTCCTAAAGCCTGAAATGTAAGTTTTTTAAAAAAAAATTGTATTTTTAAGAAAAGGGCGTCTTCGCAATATTTACCCATTTAAAAAACATGTTGAATGGGAAAGTAATAGAATATTGAATTGGTAGTACAATAAGCCACAGGCTGCAGTGCCGCTAGACTGCAGGCGTATTAGGGTGTAAAAATAAAAAACAATCTCTACCTTGTCTCAACTAAAAAATGGCTAAAAAAATTTAAAATTTAAATTAAGAAATTTCGAATAACTTATTAAAAATGAGGTGATATTCTCCAATATTTCATTATTGGAAAACCGATATTAGTAGATGTCTTTTGCTTGACAAGCACTGAAGATGGCTTAAAAATTGAACGAAATACAAGTTTTCTTTGCGCTGATCTTTTAGACAATTTTAAAATATTTGCAGGTTGTGAAATAGTACAGGCTAAAGCTGATTATTGTGGCAAAAAGAAAAAGAGAAAGAGAAGTAAAAAAAGGGGAGGATGTCCATGTAAGAAAAAAAAATCTAGAAGGAAGAAGAAATCATCAAAGAAATGTTTTAAACCAGGCCCAAGTACTCCAAATCCGTTTCTTAACTTTCTTCGTGTATTCAGGTATCCATTTAAATTTAAACTAGAATTTTTTATCTTAAGGTAGTTCACTCGTAAAACGACTTTTCTTAAGAATTCAATAAAGTTGAAATACAGTGTGTCTACTTAAGTTGGAACTATATGGAAAACTTTTTTATTACTGGTTTTGTGAAAAAATGTATTCCATCAGATATTAATTTATTTAAGCCGTATACGAGGTTTGTCTAAAAATATGAATTTTACTCAAGAGTAAAGTACATTTATTTTTTACAATACAAAAGAACATTATAAAATAGTTATTTTGAATTAAGTTATATTCAAATATGAAATTACAGTCATTTAGCATGAAAAGTCAGGTTAGGTGATTATTTACATTTTACATTATAAATTATTTGTAGTTATAAATTAATTAATCACCAAACCTGAATTTTAATGCTAAATGGCTGTTATTGCATATTTGAATATAACTTGTAAAACATAAAGGTACTTTATTGAGTAAAATTTATATTTTTTGGCAAACCTCGTATACATCTTAAAAAAATTGATATCTGATGGTTGCATTTTAAGTTTTGGACCATGCAGAACTTTTTATCACAAATACATTTTTTCACAAAACCAATAATAAAAGTTTTCCATATGATTCCAACTTAAGTAGACACACTATATAAGGCTAATGAAAGTGTCTTTTATGCAACTAAAAACAATGAAATATTTTGACCGTTTGTGAAACTAGATATTAACAATCAAAATGTACACAATTAATGCTATTGAAGCTTATCATGTACACAAGCAATGCATTTATTTCAAGATATCTCGAAAAGGGTTCTTACCATATATTTTTTAAAAACAAATGTAATGTAAATCAAGAAGTTATAAAATTTTCTAAAAAACGATGAATTTTTTGACCGTCTTGGTAAAAAGATACAGATTTTTGAAGTAGTCGACACGTAATTGCGTAAAATGATTACAACTTGGCAACATTGTAATCGCTACTCTTAACGCGTGGTCACAGTCATTGCGTTCGGTCTGCTAAGTTCCTTTAACTCCTTTAACACTTTTTACTCCAAACGACCCTTTAAGCATTCGGTTTAGTCCGATTAGTGACAGTTTAACACGCTTAAATGTCATTTAGAAGCACCCTAAAAAACTCCGCTTTTGTCTCGCTCCAGCCCCTGACTATCCGAACTCGCCTAGTATAGCTACAGAATCAGTTCGCTCACTCTGCGTCAGCACATCTGATCTCAATGTTTTGGATTTGTATCCCTGGCACATACAGAATAAAATCTTAATAGTCCAAGAGCCCACTGCCATCTGATAATGAAATAAAATATACTCTTGTAAACTAAGGCTTGTAAAAAGATTGTACTTTACCAAATGGCAACTGTGCGAATCCCAATCCTGAGCAAAGTGGTTAAAAAAATCACATAAGGCATGACAGTGCTAATGTTGGTTGCCCTTGAAGTTTTCCAGATAATAACATATTCAAATATATCTTGATATATATCGTTAACGGAAAACATGTTCTTCCTCTTAACACCGCACAAAAACATCTACACACGATTAATAGGTAAAAATTATTAAAAATATGAATCTTTGCCGATTTAAAAATTTATTTGTACGCCTATTGTTATGATTCATTTTTACAGGTTTCCATAGAAACGACAAAAACACTACTAAGAATTTGGTTTATAAGAATTGTCTAACAAGAGTTTATAATTAATATTGACTATCTCTCCAAATAGTTTATACAATGCCATCCTTTTTCCTTTCACATATACACATGGTTTAAAAGGAACATATTTAATTATGTTATCAGATGGCGCTCGTAATTTGCAGTGTACTCTTTTACTATAACCAATTAGACATTCCAACGACTTGTCAAACAAAATAGCTGCCAGTGAGAAGGTCTGGTATATCTAAGGGGGTAGCGACATAGTTTTGCATCATGAACACTTTTTTTATTCGAAATAAATCACCAAGCCTGCCAATTTATGAAAGAATGTATAAGCGGTTTCTTATTTTTATTGTTTCACATAAAATATTTAAATGTAATCCATTATTCATGATATTACGTATTGTAAACAAAATACATCGTATGTCGCAACCCTTGGATATATCAAATCTTCCCACTGGCAGTTCATTTGTTTGGAATGCCTAATACAATATATGACAACCGCCTATATTCAAACAGCAGTTTTCTGCGCATCCTGAATTTGTATACCTGGAGTGGATGTTATTTTTTAACATCCAATTGGTCCGAGTGAGCTAACTGATTCTTTAGCTATAAACTGTGGCGCGGTAAGCGAATAACACTCGATTAGCTAAGGGCAAGTTGGAGCTGACGCCCTATGGTGTGGGCAGGGCATGAGGAGAGTCCTGTCAAGACAGAGAGCGAATGTAGTATCATCTCGAACACGCTCTGTCACTCAGAGTAAAAATCATAACCTCAATCCAGTATGTCTGTCAACGATCAGTTAATTATTATGCATTACAATGGAATTACATAAAATAAACTTTCAGAATTTACTTATAATAATCTATGAGTTAAGGTAGTTCACTCGTAAAACGTCCTTTATTAAGAATTCAATAAAATTGAAATATAAGGTTAATGAAAGTGTCTTTTATGTAACTAAAAAAAATTAAATTTTTTGACCGTCTGTGAAACGAGATATTAGCAATCAAAATGTGCATAATTAACACTCTTGAAGCCTGTCATGTACACAAGCAATGCATTTATTGCAAGATATCTCGAAAACAGTTCTTAGCATATTTTTTAAAAACAAATGTAATGTAAATCAAGAAGTTATAAAATTTTCTTAAAATTTTTGACCGTCTTGGTAAAAAGATATAGATTTTTATAGCAGTCGACGCGTAGTTGCGTACAATGATTACAACTTGGCAACATTGTAATCGCTACTCTTAACGCGCGCTAAGCGAATAACACTCGATTAGCTAATGGGTTGTTATAACGTCACGACGTGTTCTTGAAAAATTAATTCATCCACTGTATTTGAGAACTGAAATCAACAGTTCTGTTTGAACAAAACAAACCCTTAAAATTAGAATAAGGAAGTCACAAATTTTTATAGGCCACCATTCATATATTTACGACGTTGCCGGATGGATTTTAGTTGAAATTATAACTTATTCGTATATAAGCTTAAATTGAGAATCTCGAATTTTTTGTATTCATCATTAGGCGGTATTTTTATGTACGACTGTCGCAAGTGAACTACCTTAAGGTGCGTATAGATATAACTGGCCGGGCACAGGCCAACGACGGGCGCAGGTTCGTCAATTTGTACAAACAAGCAAAAACTTTTATGAAGACTAAAAAAGTTTTTTCTATTATTCAGTCCATCCAAAAATATTTTTAAAGTATACCTTTATTAAATCCATTTAAGAAGCAACTACGCACGTCACTATGAGTGTTCCATGTATTTTGAAAATTTGTGGTTACTGACAACTTTAACCATTTTAACTTATCTCTAAAAAAAATACATGGCAAGTGCACAGATTACCCAGATGCGAAAGTTGATAAAGAACATCCAAACTAAGAGAGAGATAAATGGCCATACCCATTTAAAGGTCCCTCGTAGTAACTCGTTTCCACTCGCGTAGTTCCGAAGGCAAAAGTTATTTCATTATGCGAAGTTGCCGATGCTCCTAAGTTTTCTGATGTTATGTGACATTGGAATTTAAGTCAAATGAAAATGTACATACATTTTTTAGTTACCCCCACATACTTCGATTTTTTAGTATGTGGTTACCCCAGACGATACATACAAATAACGTAGAATTAAAATCCGCTGAACATAAAATAATACAAAACCATTTAAAGGTTTATAGTTTACATTTATCAATGACAATCAATGACACTTTAAAAAACGCGTGAAATTTTAATTTTTTATGTGACAACCTTGCTTAGGATGCTGTAAGTGAGACATTTCTGTGACATTCACGACAATCAGGACCGGTCGTGACGCTTTGCGTTGTGTGCATTTTTGGACAAAAATATTGTGTATTTGTGTCTAGTCTTCTTCTGTAGATAAATCATGAGTGAAACGAAGAATATACGTCGTGGTGGCATCTAGGGCACGTATAAAATGTCTTCGAATTCATAGCTGTAAATGTATGAACACTTTTCTACTTCTACTGCAACTTTCGTTTTAGATAGCAACAATATTTTTATTCATTTGAAAGGTTACGATATCAAATCATTATTTGGAAGTCTAAAAACACCAACCGAATGTTTTTATCAGTTGGAATATTGCAGTTTTTAAAAAATATAGAAAATTACTTACCTTGTCCCACACTTTGAAATAATTCGTATAATTTGTTTAACCTTCACCTGGCCTCGTGGGGTATGTGCATACCCCACGCTCTTTCTCGTCGATTTTCGATATCTAAATCTTCGAAATCGAAACTCGTAACGACGTCTATCGGTAGTCAAGGGATATACTTTTATACCTAGGCCAGTGGGATAGCGCTCTCAAAATAAATACTTTTTAAAGACCCATGAAAACAATTATTATTATTATTATTATTATTATTATTATTATTATTATTATTATTTTATAGTGATGTAACAGAAGAAGACAGCTAAAATTTCAGCCCTTTTTATGGAAAAACAAAAAAAAATTATGATTTTTTTTTGTAAACGCATATTTTTTTTTTCAAGTATTCAAATTTTCCGGATTTTTTATGAACGTTGATCTTTTTTCAACTCGAACTATTCTACAGTTTAAAGTGGTATCTAAAGAGGATCTCTGAATTTTTTTGAGACAAAATAATCAATATTTCAATTTTTACAAAGATTTTTATCACTGGGGTTCGTACGTACCCCACGAGTCCAGGTATGTTACTCAGGATGAGCATGACAGGTGAAGGTTAATACAGTTCAAGGATTTAAACACCCTTGTCATCATTTTTCTAATGACTACTTTTTAAAGTTATTTATTCGTCTTTGAATATTTTACCTAATAAAATTCAGCAACAAGCAGAAATCAACAAAAAAATAGAAAAGTATGTATTTTAAGTAACGTCTTAATGAGTGCTTTAAATCTGATTCTTCATTAATTAATTAATTCATGAAGAATTTGATAGATATAAAACTAAAACCAAATTTAATGAATATTCATGAATAAATGTTCTATTTTGCATTTTCATCCAATTATACTTTACAGTTCAGAAGTATCAACCTACCAAACTATTTGTTCAATATTTGTTTTATTAGGTTTGTGGCTACAGGGCTGCTAATAGGGCTGTATGCAATAAGTATTTAAACCTCAATTATGTACAAAAGTTGTATTGGTATACTTGTTAGTGATGAGTTTATATTGTATCCTAACACACAATGAATTGCCGGGATATTGCTGGCCTTTTGCTGTAGTTAAAGCAAAAATGAATGCGAGGATTAAAAAATGAAAGGCTACTTTTGTCCTTTTAATAGTGGCCCAGCATTATGTTGGTTGATGATTGGGTGAGAGCGAGGTAAAAGTCAAAAGGCTTTTAACTGCTGCAGACCCAACCCTCCTACAGTCCAGGAGGAGACACCGATGATCACTTGCTACATACTCAACGAGTGGACATGAGGCCAGTTTGGGATTAATGGTACTCACTATTCATTGTAATTTCTTGCTTATACATGTTATTAATTTAAAATATTTTATGAAAATACATTTTTTTAGAAGACATTTTATCTTTATTATATAATATAGCTGAATTAAATAAAATGTCTACAATGTTCTAGGTATATTGGAATGCATTCGGTTTTATATTTATACTTCAAACAGTACTGCTGGTCAAAGAGGCACTATTGAATTGTATCTGGCACATGGCCTTTATTAGCAGTCAGTATTAATATGGTAAAAGGCCTGCAATTTCCCGTTAACTTTCCATCAATAGGCCATTAATTGCCAATATATTTATTTCAACACAATAAAGAGAAAACGGAGGTCTTTAACTTGATTTTAGGTCTAATAAAGCCCGCTTGATAAATTTTTAAAACCTTATACAAATCATAATCTTTTTCTTATAAAATGTTTAAAAATGAAACTCCTATCGGCAACTTTTTTAACATACTAGTGCTGTTACTATACATTAATTACCTAAACCAACCCTAGCATCCAAAACGCATGTTTAGAAAAAAGTCATATTTAGTAAGACTGATAGAAAATAATTAAAATTGGCAACACATATGCCATACCCATTTAAAGGTCCAAAGTCATAGAAATCTCATTTCAAAATCCTTTGATCTTTTGCCGGGTTTCGCATCTGTTGTGGTCAATCTGTGGCAAGTGTATATATCTTATCCATTCATTTAAATGCGTTTTTAATTTTAGAAAGCAGCATTGCGGTTGGAGCATAACCAAAATAGCCGTCGAAGGCGCCAAATGTTGGTGTAAAATGAGTAAGGCCCAAAAAGAACGATTTTACAGAGAAGCCTGTCGAATGCAGAAAGGTAAAAGTAAACGCAAAAAAAAAAGTAAGCGTAAGAAGGGAAGATGTTGATTCATGGTTACATTCTCTTACAATAGGACACTAAATAATTAGTAAATGTCTGTCTAGTTAAAAATATTTTCTGAATATATAATTTGTGGGTAGTGTCTACAGAGGTATATTGATTGTTTTATAGTGTAATATAAAGTATTGTGAGAACCTTTGTAAATTAGAAATAAAAAGTGTATATGTACTTACCTATCGAATTATATTCTTTCTGGTTGTTTCCTACAACGATGTAATTTTGTTCGGCATTCACCAAGTAATGTTTGCACTTTTCTTGCGCCCTGTATGAGATGACATATCCCCAGATTTTCTCAGACAATCTAACCAAAAATGTCCCACATGGTTGATCCAGGAGAAGCGTTTCAGCTTCTTGCCTTGTTATGAGCCCTACGAGTTTTCACCAATTAAAATTCATCTACCGTGTGTACCATAAAGTTGAATCCATACAGGATAATATTTAAAAACTTAAAATAGCTCATATCAAAGATAACTACTGTCAATAGTTTTCTGTCAAATTTGCATTTCGATGGCTTGAGTGCAAAACGTCGTAACCCCAAAAAGTAAATTATACAGGGGAATAAAAAAACGAATTATTTAGATGTAATTTCGAAGATTTTGGCGCGTAAAATTAATTTCATTTTGTACTGTGGCTTACGATAGTTTTACACAAGACGCAGCTAAAACATACGACTCCAATGACGAGAAAAGCGATTTTTTGAAATTTGAAATTTTGTGCGCATATTCTGTCTAGTCATAGTCAAGTTCTTGTTTGTTGCAGTGTTGTCAGGATAACTTAAGAACAACGGAATGTTCTTTAATTAGGTCTGTAGCTACCAATTTTTGTCAGGCCAATAGAAGGGCCAGGTCCAAAAAGTATTTGGTTGGCTACTTTCTTGGCTAGTGAATCAGCAAGAGCGATACCTTTCGATGAGGCGTTACCTTTGATCAATCTTAAAGGTGACCCATTGTTGATGGATACTTTCGCCAAAGCTTTGTGACATTCTAGTACTTACCCTGAGTAAATTCGTGGTCTGTTCAGGGTGAGTAAATTCGTAGTCTGTTTAGGGTGAGTAGTGCTTGTCTGCTATCTGTATAGATGAGTATGTTCCTTCCAGTGATATTGTTTCTGCTATGAGAATCCCTGTTAGCTATGTTTAAACTACACTGGCACTATTGCTCACAGCCCATTTCATGTTTAGGTTTAATAATCTGGAGTATATTCCACATCCTGTGCCTTGTTTTGTTTTAGAACCGTCGGTGTAGATATGAATCGTACCTGCCACTTCTGGCTCTTCTATTTGTTTTATTATAACTTTATATGGCTTATGGAAGATATATCTCGGTGAGATGGAATGGTAGCATATCGAGCGCCTACTGCCAAAAGCGACGTCTCGCCTCACCAGATCCTACATCAGGTTCTATTCCAATCGTGCGAAGGCGTGTCATTGTCGTCAGAGCAACCTCCTTGATGTAAATATCAAGGGGAGTGAGACTAAAGACTTCCATGGCTCTGGTCGGTGTTGGCTGCTGTTATGTTGAGACATGTTGTTCTTTTAATTTGTTCTAGTTTACGGATAGCTGTTAATTTTTGGGTTTTCGGTACCCAGACAACTGCACCGTTTGTTAGCATTATATCCCTTTATTGAACAATGTCACGGATTTAAAAGACAAAAAGTGTAGGTTCTTTACATTTTGTATCTTTGAAGTCTGTCAAAAAATTCTTCATTTTGATTGCTTAACAGATTGGCACAAGGCAAATTTTTCTACAAGGTTTTCTCTTATGATTCTTCAAAAAGCTCTCGCGACAGAGCTTTCTATTCTTAAAGGTATAGGAACTTAAAAATTTGAATTGTCTACTCATCATAAATGAATCGGTCATTTGAGAAACACCATAAGTCAAAACAGTAAAAGTTTGGGAAATTAAAAAAAAAAACGTTTTTAAATCGTCTGTGTGTGAGACAAAGCATTGATTTTTTTTCTCTAAAATTGCGAGATTGCTTAACTATTTGATAGTATCAAAACAACGTCCAAAATATTTACTCATGGGGTTTCTCAAATATACGAATATTTTAATTTATTTAGACAATAAAAGTACACATTTTAATGAAATAATGTGTGTATTTAACAATATATGTAATTTAAAATTTTATCTAAAACCCTATCTTTATCAACAGTTGGCCAGTTAAAGTTCTCATTCCGGAAAATACTGCTTTAGTTTGACAAGGTCAATTATCTGTTTATAGGTATTTTTCAAACATAAGCTATTTTAGGAAGAGTCAAAAGTTGTGTAGATATATTTCGAAATGTATCACAAGTCAGTCCATCTATAGAAGATTTTATCACAAGAACTCCTTCATTTTCAAAAAAATGTTTATAATGCACATACAGACTTATTAACCGACTTCAAAAAAGGAGGATGTTCTCAATTCGTCGCAATATTTTTTTTTATGTATGCTCAGCGATAATTCTTTAACATGGTGTCCGATTTCAATAATTCTTCAATGATTCTTTTTTTGTTAGAAAGGGGGTACCTCAGGGGCGTTCCCATATAAATTTGGTTTAGATGTGGTGATGGCATCTACACGTTTTTGAAGTCGGTTTTTTTTAATTTTTAATTTCTAATACTTGTTTTAAGTGATATAGTTTTATCTTGTGATACTGTTTGTTCAAATATATTCAACATTGCGCTAAGCTTTCATTCTTAATTCTTGAATATTCCTGGAGACGTCTCTGCAAAGCCGCACTGCCTTTTACTTCTGGAGACGTCTCTGCGGCACTGCCTTGACCGATAAGAACGGTCTTCCGTCTAATAGCTACGTCACAGGCGTCATTCACTTCTTGTTCCCTTCTCACTGGTCGTCCATACCCGGCAATCACCATCATTGGTTAAAAACACCGGTACTTCCTAATTGGTCAACGTCAATCGTCACTCTCAATCTAGCTGAACAACTTCTCTCCTGGCAGAGCTTCAGTACCTCCCAAACACATCGTTCTGGGGTGTTCAATATGGCTTGAGTGTTTAAGTAACAAATTTTCGAAAAAATGTCTGTATATATATAGTGTAAAAAGTATGTAGTTTGTAAATGAACCATGTAATAAACTTAACATAGTTTCAATAGTGTTTTAAAATAAAGCATGTAATTAGAAAGTGATGTTTTCACCTAAGCACTAATCCTTTCATCCCTACGGATCGCACAGGTATTTCCAACATAATTTCGGTCAATCTGCGACAGCTGATTGTATTAGCTGGTGTACCGCATGTATTAGAGAAATGCCATTAGACAACGACTTATGGGGTTTCTCAAGTAAAGCATTTTGACGTTCGAAAATTTAATACAAGGAGTGCTAGAACAAATGGGATTTCACGTTGGAATGTGCACCGGAATGTTAGCAATAAGAATCTACCATTTTTGGAATATATCAAATTTGTGACTTATGGGCTTTCTCAAATGACCGATTCAAATAAATAATAACATATTCAGGGTTTTTGGATTTTCACTTTCTATGGGTGGAAACGGGGGGTTGAAAGTTTGTATAGGGATAACGGTTTTTTAAAGGTAGGAACTTTAAAATTGGAATTGTAGCTACTCATCATACGTAAAAAATGACGTATTTAAGAGTTTTGTTTTTCATATTTTAAGAGAGGAAAATATTCTAGGTTAGATATAATTGATATTTACCATGGAACCAAGGCATAACATTGTTAGAGGAATCTAATCCAGCGAATCGTTTTCTTTCTTTACTTCTGTACCATTCTATCACAGCGTTTCGTCCAGGTGGTACGCCCAAATTGACTGTATTAAGAGGGGTATCTATTTGGAAAGAAGAATTTAACTTGTGCTCTTCTCTAGCTCTTCTTGCTATTTCTCTTATTTGAAGTTCTGCTTCTTTTGCTTTCCTCTCTAAAATAAAAATGTCCAATAATATACAACAAGTGAGAAAGATTTCAGTAAATATTAATACGGAAAAAGTGAATTTTTATTAAGAGTTGTGACATTCTCGCACGAACGGCACTGGTGTAAGCAGAAATATTCAGATCATCTGAATATCAAATATTCAATATTCTCTCGTTACATAAAATAAGGCATTTCGTAACTGGTTTCATAAATAGCTATTTAATAGGTTTTTAGAAGGGTTCGACACCAATTTGACCCCCTACTTGTTTAGACAATGAAATATAGTTAAAAATAGGACGAACGCCACTGGTGCAAGTAGAAATATTCAGATCATTATATATTCGATATTCACTCGTTAAATAAAATAAGGCATTCAGTAACTAGCTATTTAATTCTATAGGTTTTTAGAAGGGTTCGACACTCCTTTGACCCCCTACTTTGTTAGACAATGAAATTCAGTTAAAAATAGGATGCCACTGAAATCCTCAATCTGTTGAAATTAGTGAAAGCCTTAATTACTGAGTTATACGCCTTCAAATAAAGGTCATAGTGAAAATAACTATGAAATTATTCTATTGATCTTAAACCATGATGGATAAGGAATAATTGTAAATTTTTGACCAATGAAACAGTGGTTAAATTTTTTGTACATCTTTTTGTAACATCCTGTATAATCATTAAAAAGAACTGAACATTTGCGTGTATAAAATATGCAATTGTAGAAAAACATTATAAAAGTGATAGTGAGATAATAGTAGGTATATTGTTTAACGAATAAAAAATGGTTATCATTTCCTACGAGTATATTTACTATAAATTATACGAGTAGGAAATTAGAATTCCTTGCGCGTTGAACACTATACTTTTCTATTCGATTATTTTCGATTAATCGATTATTTTCAATTATTAAATTAATCGATTAATTTCTATTAATCGATTATATCGATTAATTCTTCTATTCCTGCTAGCCTACCGAAGTTCTGAACATGAATCGGCCAGTTATACTCCATCTATGATGATTACTGAAAGGGAGATGAAGCTTCCCCATGATCTTCTTTTTGAAAGAAGAGGGCCGTACACCTCGGACATACATACAGAACTTAAGAGAACGATTAGAAAAGGTCTACGGATTCGCTCGGGAACGTTTGAAAGTCAGCAGCGATAAAGCAAAAGCTAGAATCGACATGCAAGCCACGGGACACATTTTAAGAGAGGCGACCCAGTAGGGCTGGGCTGTACAATCCCAAGCGCCAAAAAGGACTTCGTCAGAAACTGCAATGGAACTGGGAAGGCTCCTACAGCGTCCTCAAGAATATCAACGACCTGATCTACCGCATTCAGTTGTCAGCGGAAGTAAACCCATGGTAGTTTTGATTGAAAAGTTAGCGCCATACCGTGATCCATATCCTCCCCGTTGGCTCCAATTATGGTCCCGGTAATCAATTTATTCGGGACGAATAATTAGAGAAGAGGGAGCAATGTTACCTTGCACCCTGCAGTAGTGTACGGCTGTTATAGTAAAAGTAAGAATAGAAGAAGAGAGAACAGTCTAGAAATGTCTAGAAATGTCATTTCGTGACGGTTTGACAAGGTTCAAGGCAGCTATATAAGTCGATGATCCTGACGTCACAAAGCAGTTTTATGACAGAAGTTTTACGTTCATGTTACCAGTTGTAAAAATCCAGATAGAATGAAGTAGAGACGACATAAACACTATTTTGCGATATGACAGATGGACGCACTTAGCGATGCCTGACTGACGGAAAAGTGTAATCAAAATGGCGACTTAAGAGTCGTACTTTGATTTATTTGAAGTCAATGATTTTATATTTGAAGATTGATGGAATGAAAATGTTTTTATGCCATCTAAATGAAACTGTTTTAAAAAATGACATTTATTCTCACCAAAATGGATTAGCTCGAGTTTGACACATGACGTAAAAGTGTAAGGCAAAGGTGCGAACACTTTTAGTATCTTCAAATTATATCCTCCTTATTCTATTTCAATAGATGTAATAAAATTGAATTGTAAAAGTTGAGTTTGAAATAAATTGAGTTACCAAAAACCAGTGTACCAAACGTTATTTTAACAATTTTTTTTTGAATATTAAAAATTTTAAATGTATTTATCTTGTTTTGCGAAATGTCAATTTGTTTCGTTAGCACCATGATACCTTGCGCGAAGTAATTAGGTACCGCCATTCAAATCAACCATAAAAACATTACAAACAGAAACTCAATCATTACTAGGTTAATGAATTAAATAGAGTAAAAAAATAACCAAATAATAATAATTATTATTATTATTATTATTATTATGCAAAATGTTATTATTAAATGATGTATCGGGTATCAGATTGGAAACTAATTATCCGTGCCCATTATATCTAGAATATAGAAGTGTATATGTCAATAAACTCATTAACTTTTTCCATTATTTTCTAATCATTGCAATTAATTATAAAACCATTAAATTAGTATGTAAATATTGTTAAAGACAAAAGGACTACATATGTTTTGATGCCTATCTCCCAGGAAATGTACATTTGTATAAAGAAAGGTCTGATTACAATTAGAAGAACACAGCTACGTCACAACTATTATTTCGAATTTCTAATATATATCATCTATAACAGCGTTACTGAAAGGGTGGCCCGCGGAGCCCCAGGGCTCCGCAAAGCCTTTGTGGGGGCTCCGCGTAGAAAATAATAGTCATAATAAAAAAAGCAGCAGTACTATCGCTATAAAAGGGAGGCACTTGGCGGCTTGAGGATCATTTTTTTTTTAGCAGTCACTAAGAGAGGAAGGAGGATATGATTTTGTTCGCAGGACCTTTTTTTAAGTCACCAAGAGGAAAAGAGGAACGAGGATATGATTTTGTTTGGAGGTCCTTTTAGAAGGCACCAAGAGTAAGGAGGATATGATTTTGATTTTTTTGTGGAGGCCGCGAACAAGGAGGAGGGACCTGGCTCGAGGATTTTTTTTAGAAATGTGTTTAGGGCTCCGTCAAATATTTCGCTTTTCAAAAAGGTTCCGTCACCAAAAAAGTTTGAGAACCACTGATCTATAACTAGCAATAAATAAAGAATATATGAGTTGTTTCGTTTAAAAATAGTATTCATACATTTTTATAATATTAACACGTCACTAAACCCCCACTAGGCGGTGTTAGCCAACGAATGACGTAACTGTATTCATCTTATTGTGATCGGACCCTATACGAGTAGATTATATCATAATAAAAGCATAAAATAAACTTACCCTGTTCTCTCCATTCCAATTCTTTCATATTTTCTTCCTCTTCAGCCTCCTTAGCGCATTGTTGCTGTTTAATTTGTATCTTCTGAAAAATTTCGCTAGTTTTATCACTCAACAATTTTTGTTCCCATAAAGCTACTTTTTGAGAAACTTTTTGTGTACTTTTCTGCTCTGCAGAATCGTCAATTTTTTTAGTAATTTTTGTAGGATAATCAATCAGACTATAATTATTATTATTATTATTGCTATTTGTGTAGTGTACTGATTTCGAGTGCATTTTTGATCGAATTTCTTCGACTGAGCAATAGATATCCATATCGTCGTTTATACTTAGTTTAGGTAAGTTTTCTTCGATTTTAGGAGTAAGATCTACGTAATCCTCGATAAGTTGCGCTTTCATTTCTTTTCTTACTTCCTCTCTTAGTTTTTCAGTCTCCTTTTCGGCTAGTTTACGGGCTTCCTTAGAGGCTTCTTTCCGTAAAATTTCTTCTATCGTTCTGTCATCTTTGTGTTCTCCCATAACCCAAACCCATGGTTCTCCGTCTGTACCTATAAAAATAATAAATTAAAATAAAGTACCTAAATACGACGGTCATGTTGAATTTTTTTGCTATACGTTTAGCGATAAATCTCGACTTGTTATTATTATTTATGCCCCACCCTTTACAAGTTCGTACAATGAGACATATATTGGTATTAGATCGGCATTAACCTCGCAATCGTTAAATTATTATCTCATCCGCTTTATTCCTGATTTGACTCCTAACTTTTTCCTATATTAAAAGGAAATTTTAAGAAAAATCGATTTGCCAATCTAGCAATGAAAGTATTAGTAAAATTCAGAAGGAAGCCTGTGCTGTGATATCTTCGACAATGATTTGGCAAAACGCAAATGTTGTATGGTTCTAAAGCAGGGAAACCCAAAGTGATCGATACCGTCCCCTTGGGGTCGAAATCGGTTTTCCAGGGGTCGGCATAAGCGAGTTTTGCAGACACGAAAAAAAAAATGCAGACAATACAGTGTGGACTACTTGAAGTTTGGGTTTATTCCATCTCTATCAAATCAACACTTGCCGATGTGTCTAATATGTGAAAAAATAAAAATATCTCGACGAATTGAGAACCTACTCCTTTTTTGAAGTCGGTCAAAAAGTAAGCACTTAAAGAAAAACTAAAGAAAGACCATCCATAAGATCGATGTTTGCGTCATCATCTATGCAAGACGTTGATGGATTACGAGCGTCCTATAATATATCTTTACTAATAGCGAAGTCGGGGAAACCCCACACAATTGGAGAGCAGCTTATTTTACCAGCCATTGGGGAAGTCCTCAACAATGTATTGCACAAGTCCGCACAAAACCAAGAAATTCTCTCCAGTTGGATGAGTACATTACCCAGCAATGAAGCTCTGTTGTTAGGATATGTTCGATATATTTAAGATGAAAATATGTGCCAAGAACTGCTTTTTGCTACATATTTAGAGACTGAGACTGATACTAGAAAGAATATTCACAGTTGTCGCATTCGTCAACAGTACCAGAAATGCTTCAAGACGATGTTATTTTACCATATGTCACTCACTTGGAGGCATTACACAAGGATTTTACTAAGAGGTTTGAGGATCTCTTAAATTTACAAATTCCTTAATGGATAATAAATCCGTACAATATCACAGCCATGAAAGAAGCCAATGTGATAAATCAAGTGGAGTTGATTACCATCAGCACAGACGAGGAGCTTAAGCAGAAGTTCAACCAATGCTATCAGAAGTTATGGTTGCAGAGCAACATTAAAACACAGTATCCTGTATTGTGGAACATTGCTGAAAAATACTTTATTGCTTTTCCATCATCATACCTAGTCAAAAAAGACTTCGGTGTGGTTACAATGACATTTTGACAAAACAAAGAAACCGTTTGAAAATCAACGAATGCAGAGATTTAAGGCTGCAAGTCACCAGATTATATAGATTGGTAGAAAGTCACCAGATTCATCCATAACACTGAATTTTTTAGTTTCTATCTTTGCTTTGCGATTTTAATGTTATTTTTTTTTTAATAATAATTACCTACTTAAGTATTTTGAAGTAATTTGTAATAATAATAATAGTTATTAATTATACTTGATATTTACTGAATTTTATATCTAATTATTTTGTTAAATTTTGATGAGAAAATGAAGTCAAGTTTACTCACTTAACCAACCGCAAAGTTTTTAAATTGGTAGACGTATTTACAACATGTCATCGCCTGGACATATTCAAAAAAATCCTGAACTCTGCCAGAAGTCTGGATCTACTGGATCAAAAGTATCTACTAATGAAGCCAAAACATTAGTCTAATCAAATAGACCTTTAAATCAAAATTTTGGAGGAAATACAGGAATTTTGGATATGTCACTTTAGAGTATTTGAAAGCAAGAGGTAAAAAAATTTTGTTTTTTAGGTCCCGGCAAATGTCGAAAAACAAGAAAATAAAGTGTTTTTTAAAGTTATTTAAAAACGGTAGGTGCTATAAAAAAAAGTTCTTAATAAAAATTGTAAAGCATAAAGTTTTACATAAAAATGATATTAAGCATTTTTTCCAATTATTAAAATTAACAGAGTTAGGGTGGTTAGAAGTTAAGAGGAGATATATGAGCTGAATTCAATGATTTTTTATTTTCTTTTTTTTTTTTTTTTTAGTTATGAAAATTTAAATTTACAATACATTATACGACTTTATATGGTAAAATAAATTTTGAAGTGAACTAATTATGGCTTGCCTGACATGAAAAATATGAGTAAAGAACTAATAAAAGCGACATTGCGACAGTTAAGTCCCCATTTGAAGTTCCATTAAATAAATAAAAATTAATAAATAAAAATTAATAAATAAAAATTAATAAAAAACAAATTAAAAATAATAAAAATAAAGATAAAAAATAATAAAATTAAACAAAAATAAATAAAATTAAATAAAAAGAAAGAAAAGCAAATAAATAAAAATAAATTAAAATTAATTAATTAAAATAAATTAAAATTAATTAATTAAAATAAATTAAAATAAATTAAAATAAATTAAAATAAATTAAAATAAATTAAAATAAATTAAAATAAATTAAAATAAATTAAAATAAATTAAAATAAATTAAAATAAATTAAAATAAATTAAAATAAATTAAAATAAATTAAAATAAATTAAAATAAATTAAAATAAATTAAAATAAATTAAAATAAATTAAAATAAATTAAAATAAATTAAAATAAATTAAAATAAATTAAAATAAATTAAAATAAATTAAAATAAATTAAAATAAATTAAAATAAATTAAAATAAATTAAAATAAAATAATTTAAAATAATTTAATTTAAAATAATTAATTTAAAATAAATTATAATAAACAAAAATAAATAAATAAACATAAATATCATCTGCCATGATGCATGTCACGTCACCTGTAATGTCATACGTTACATTACATTATCCGCCATATGACTTGTCATATCATGTACCGCTGTTGAATTTTTCGAATATCCCCCGTTTACGTATACGTGTCATTTGTACCTAGCCAATTTATATTTATTATTATATATTTATTTATTTTTATTTATATATTTTTCATTTTATTTTTTATTTGCTTTTTAATTTTTATTTATTTAATCTACATTTACTCATTTTTAATTAATTGTATTTGTTCTTATTTTTTAAATTTATTTATTTTTTAATATTTTGTTATTTTTATTTAATTTTTATCTTCTTTAATTTTTATTTATTTTAATTTATTTTTACTTTTACTTTTATTTATTTTAATTTTTTCTTAATTTTTTTAATTTATTTTAATTTCATTTTTGTGTAATTTTATTTATAGATTTATTTTTATTTACCCCTTTTAATTATTTTTTTATCTTTATTTTCATTATTTTTAATCATTTTTATTAAGTTTTATTTTTAGTTTTTTTAATTTTTATTTATTTAATGGAGCTTCAAGTGGGGACTAAACTTTCACAATGTTGTTTTTATTAGTTCGTTACTCATATTTTTCATGTCAGGCAAGCCATAATAAGTTCACTTCAAAATTTATTTTACCATTTAAAGTCGTATAATGTATTGAAAAAATAAAATTAAAAAAATTATTTTTCTGAAAAGAAAGTTCATATTTTTCTAAGTAACTAATAAAAATAAAATAAAAAATCATTGAATTTTCAGCTCATATATATCTCCTCTTAACTTTTAAACACCCTAACTCTGTTAGTTTTAATAATTGGAAAAAATGTATATCATTTTTATGTAAAACTTTATGCTTTACAATTTTTATTAAGAACTTTTTTTTATAGCACCTACCGTTTTTAAATAACTTTAGAAAACACTTTATTTACTTGTTTTTTGCCATTTGCCAGGACCTGAAAAACAACATTTTTTTACCTATCGTTTTCAAATACTCTAAAGTAATTTATATCAAAAATTCCTGTATTTTCTCCAAAATTTTGATTTAAAGGTCTATTTGATTGGACTACAATACTCTAAAATCTAAAAATAATATAAAAAAACATACCTAATAAAAAATTAACTTTTTTATGGGCCGTTTTCAATTCTTGTTTGACAGGTTCGTCCCCTAATTTGTCAGTCCAATTTTTCCATCGCCGGATTTGCTCTTCCCTCATCTTACAGAAAAGGGTCTGTTTTTGGTCTTCATCTAGCTCCGCCAGGATCTCAGGATCGACGTACATGTCGCGTAAGATTTGTTGAAGCATTTTGAAATCTGTAAAAAAATTAAAATATTCAATAAACAGAATTTTAAATATAACAATTTAAATTGCTATAAACGTTTGTGATGAAACATTTTTACAATCCATAAAAATAAATATTTTTTATTTAGAATTATCTAGAATATGGCATTCTAAATTATTTATACAGATTTGGAAATTATAAGCTAAATCTATTAGGGACGAGCGTGAGTGGAAGTGAGGTGGAAGTCGTACGTACCATGCGCTAGGCCACCGCACGAGTAATGCGCTGCTTAGCAGTCTTGTTTCACGCGCGGTCCTATTATGCCTTGTCCAATTTATTATAATGGTTTAGGTTTGTGTACTAAGCAAAATAATTTAAAAGTTAATAACCGTGTGCGATGAATAAAGTCGTGACTATTGAATTGTCACTTAATAAAACAATTCTATTAGCTATTTTGAGAGATTAATTTTATTAGCCTTATGTATTTTCTAATATAATCTTTGTTTGGTTTTTAAAAAATTATTAGTTATTTTAATAACAGTTAATCCCGTTATCTTGACGTGCATGACATTAAAAATATTTATTTACTGCATATTTCATTTATTATTTTATTATTATTCAATAAATCATCCCTATAGTCACTATTTAATCACGAGTTGTTTTCGTTTTAAAAAATTTTGCTATAAGAATTTTCAAGATATCGGTAATATGTTTTTTGTGAGGTCAAAATAGTGATTTATTCCAAAATAATTATATATGCATCGTTTAGCGATTTGACCTGACAATTGTAATAATTATTGAACTAAATAAAGTACAAGACGACATATTTTGTACTAGTGCCATGGCCCTGCCCCTTAGGACAAGCCGCCACTATCATCAGCTGACTGCAAAAAAGTGGCACGTCGTCCTAGGCACCTGCCTACAAATACAAGTCAAAGATATCCTAACTTTTCTCTGGCAAAATAGTCATAATTTGGTCTAGTGAAATAGTCTTTTCAAATATTATACGACCTTAATTAATATTCTGCTATTTTTTTGTTGCTAATATCTCGAATATTTTAAAATTTGATTCGACATAATTTTGGGATTAATAATTGATCAATTAATCAGATTATTAAGGCCAAAATAACGTCTTAACAAATTGATATTAAAATATTCTCGAGATTTAGACACAACTAAAATAGCTGACTATTATCAAAGTCTCATTATATCTCAAGCAAAAGGTAAGGTTTAGTATAGTTATTATATTGTTAAATAATTTGATATTACTCAAAAACCTCAAAAAAGAAATGTGACGAGGGGGAAGGTGAGAGTGGAGTGCAAAATATTTTCAAGAGACCCTTATTAAGGCGAGCGTAAGGAAGAGAGGGATCGAAAAATTTCCATTAAAAACTTTTTTTATCTGTTGTTCCTGTAAATAGATTATATCACGAATTAATAAAATATGACAGCTCAATAATTTACAGTTATAGTACAAAAGCAATGACAAAATTGTCTACTAAGATTTTTACAGTATTAATGTACCAAATATAATAATCAGCTGTTATGATATATAATAATCAATTATTATATTGTAAATGATATAATCTCAATAATTAATTATTCATCAACCTAGTATACAGGGTGTACCAATAAAAACTCCCAGGCCGTATATTTTGGTAAGTAATAATTCTGTAAAATCCAGTTCATAGAGCGCTAAGAGAGCTTCAGTTTTAGATAATAATTAATTTTAAATAGGTCAATTTGTAGAGGGCGCTGCGCTCAATATATATATATATATTTTTTTTTTTCGATGGGAAGATCTTTCTAATATACCGCATCTTGTAAAAAATGTATTTTTAAGCAGATTTTGTTCTATAAACTAATTCGATAAATCTAGCCATTTTTGATATACACAGTAGAGTGGGTCACTCAAAACAGTTTTATCCTGTTTTTCGGCATTAATCATTGGATTTTAGGAAAATGCTAAAACAGGTCGATTTTTTTCTAAATTAAACACATTTTTACAATACATACATCTATCATGTGTCAGGCCCCTCCCTTTCACTCCTGCGATCCCTAATTTTAAATATGGAATGTACCATGTACGGCACATCATTGAAAAGGGGAAGTCAGTAATATGACTGTTTATTGCGATACTTTTAATTTTAGCGCCCTCTAAACCTGTAACGTATTATAAAGTGTGACACTTCATTTGAAAGCTAATTTAATTACTAATTCAATGCACCACCTAACATAAATATAAATATTTCCATATGTTACGGGTCAGAAATTTATCGTACCAATATGAACTCAAATAATTAGCTATTATTATTAGTTAATAATTAGGGTTAGTAAACATTAAATAAATAAAAAAAACTCACTTAAATTTGTAAATAGTATTCAACAAGATTAAGAGACTTTTATCCATTTATTAAAATCTAACCTATACATATGTAGATTGTTTATTTACATGCTAATGTTAAATCTTGACCTTGACCTTGTAATAATTCTTCTCTTCTTCATTCTAGTGTAATTTAATTAGGTCAATAATTAAGCTGTTTATTGACAGTTTAGCCTTATTAATTAGGTACATGATTCTTCAATTTTTATCTAAAACTAAAGCTCTCTTAGTGCTCTGTGAACTGGCTTTTACAGAATTAAAATATCTCAATTACTTACCAAAATATCCGGCCTAGGAGTTTTTATTGGTACACCCTGTATACATATTTACGATTAGTTAATATTAATTATTCACTGTATTAAAAAACATACCCCACTTTACCCCCATTATATGCTACTTTAAAAGTAGTGCATGATAAGTAGAAAAAAGATTAGGAGTACAGATATCGCACAAGAATCCGTTATTACTAGTAGATAAGTATTGCAATTCTGTGTCAGGTTAAATACTGGAAAATAAAGCCATCTTACTGTGCAACCATATGTTAAATTTAATTACACGTTGGATTGTATCATTTTTTTTTAATTTGTAATTACAACCAATGCATATTGTAAATATGTTGACAAAAACCAATGAGAGAAATGTATGTATGTAGGTTTTAAATAATTTGGGTTAAAGTATACATTTCCTTGGTAGATAGTATATAGTGGGTTAGTAGTACATTTAAAATACGTTCCAAAATAAAAATAAATTTAAGTAGATACATAGACTAAAAACAAAACATAATTTTCAAGAAGCTAAATATTATGGACTAGAAATATTATGTTCAGAGAAAAATGTGCCAAATAAATAAATGCCAAATTTTTGATAAAAGAAGTAAAAAAACGTCGAAAATATTTTGTGGCTTGATTCGGGTGCCATAAATACAACAGATGCATTACCGAAAATTTGGGTTGACTTGTGAGAAATAAAAGACCTTTTCTTTAACCCCTTATACTTAATTAGAGATTGGGTATAAATTTAAAAAAAGAATTAAAAAAAAATATAAGAAAATTTTCAACTATCGGCCAATAACAATCTTAAACGATTTCACATTGCGTGCCACGCTGTTATCGGGAAAAGAGCCCCAGGGGCCAAACTACATATTTGCAATATTTGTATGTATTTACTCAAAATAAAGTTTTTTTTTGATAATTCTGTTGTTTTTTTGTAGTTTTTAGCTATTTTTTTCTACTTTTTCTGGGTCTCTTATATATGAGCGACATTTATCATGGTAAATTTATTTTTCCAAATTTGCTCAAACCAAGACCAATATTACTTTCCCCAGAGGCCAAGTTTGGGATTCTCCATTTGAAATAAACGGTAGCGGGTATCACATTTGATATACATCGCCAGAAAGTGAGAGATGCGTGTCTCATAAATGAGCGACGAAGTCCCCGGCGAAATGTTTGTGTCTCTCATATATGAGAGACGTGGCACGCAATGTATTAAAAGTATTTGAAATAGTTATCCATAATCATCTCTCTTTTAAACTTTGGTAAATCTTTAATTTGTTTATGATCAAACCAGCATGGTTTTCTATCAAGAAGGGTTACTATAACCAATTTATTATGTAAGACAAATTAAATATAACTTAGAAGCTCCCTAACAACTCTGCAGTTTCTTGTTTCATCCCATCTTTCCTTGAATTTCACAAGGGAATGTTCTTTAATTGAATCGGTGAGTGAAAGAACAATACATATCCAAAATGATCATTTTGAGAAAAACAAAAAAAAAACTGTTTTAAAGGAGAACTATAGGTTATTCGGCCTCATTATGTATTGTGAAGTTATAGAATTTTTGTTAACCGATAATAATACGTACATAAATTTAAAAAGAAAATTACGCAAAAAATGATATTTAAAAAAAATGACTTGCAGTTATACTGTTCTTTCACTCAATTTAAAAAAAATGCTTAAATTTTTTTTTGTATCTTTATTGATTATTATTTAACAAATTTATTTGTAATTTTTTAATCAGAATCTTCATTTTTGACTTTTCAAGAAATAATATATGGTAGTAAAACTCTAGGATTTCATCACTAAAGTAGGATAAAAGAATCTTTATATTGGCTATCTTATTTACGTTAATAGGGACAACTTCTGAGTATGCCTTTTCTAATGGTGGGCATACACGCAACAGGCTACCGGAGAGGTCTACCTGTACAGGTGTGCCTGCGCAGGTCGTCTTCCTGTCGTAGCGTGTATGTCTACCAGTGCAGGCACACCTGCATAGACAGACCGTAGCGTGTATGCCCGCCATAAGGGTAACTGCAGATTGGCATTAGGTTTGATCAGTCTAATGCGCCCCACACATAAAAGTGTGCGAGAGAAAACCGTCTATGACGACAGTTGTGGTAACATATCCAGGAGTTTTACCAATGTATGTAAATTGGCTGTACTGCGGAATGACAAAATTAGCTTTTTGTTCATCAGCTGTTTTAGAGGTTTTTTATGAAATTGCGACCACCAGTTTTTGAAATCTGAATCAAATTTGTCTACGAAACGACATGGCTACTGAGTGAAAAAACAGTACATGCGCCGTACGTGTACTGTTTTTTCACTCAGCCAAAAACTGAACAAGCGCCCATCTCTCGTATGATGATGGTCGGT